CCTGCAGTAACAGTTGCACCTCGTCGTCATTCCAAACAAAGAAATCTCTGGTCTTACTTTTCGGCATCTCTGTTGTGTTTCCTGTAACTAAGCAACCAGCCACAGAACAGACAATCTACTTCCTGTTTACTGTGGTACAGCATGCCCAGTGTACATGATATGTGTTTCAGGTGTGTTAGCATGGATGGAGATTAATTCTGAAACTATGCGATCATGCTTGTGTGTAAAGAGATCGTTTTTGTTTAGAAAACAGTTTAAAAATAGAGCAGCTGTTAGTGTGGACGTGGCCGTAGTTTGCTGCAGTATATGAAGTATACGTTCAGGAATGAATTTGACAGTACTTTGGTTCTCAGGGCGTACAAAGACCCTCGTTAGTCTTTATTATTACACTAACCCCTCGTGTGCAGTTCCCTTTTCTTGACTGAGGACTTTTCCTCATCATCTGTGCTCTGCTCTTTGTTCCATCTGCTCAGGTGTGGTTTCCGTGGAGGTTACATGGAGGTGTTGAACATGGATCCAAAGGTGAAGGCCCAGCTGGTCAAACTGCTGTCTGTTCGTCTCTGCCCTCCCGTCCCCGGACAGGCAGCAATGGACGTCATTGTAAATCCTCCCAAAGACCACGAGCCCTCGTACGCTCAGTTTATCAAGGTGTGTGTGTTTCTGGTTGTTCTCAGTCAGTTCAGTGCAGATGTTGGTGTTTACAGTGTCAACTCAGAAACATTTCTATAAGTGTTTTTGTATAAATAGATTTTAGATAAATAGATTAGATTATAAATAGCTTTTGAGGAATAAATGAGTAGGAAGTTTAGAGGCTGGGATCAAACTACACCAGCTGCTGGATGCTGACCTCCTTAAGGTCGGTGTTCCTAACCTGTCAGGACCCCCACAAGCGTTTAAGAGATTGACCTAAGAGGTCTGAGGGTTACCTGGTTATAAATAGTAATGAATACAATTCATTTTTAGACTGTGTAGTTTTATTTCCTCAGGCCTAAAAAGATTCAAGTCCAACTCAAATTTAGCTGCATGTTTTTTTTTTTTGTTTCTGCTCCAGCACACATCCATATCTGCTCTGCTAATCACATCCTGTGTTCTCCCTGTTTTACATGACTCCCTCTGACTGCTGTTAACTCACTGTCTGTGTAAAGTTAAATGTGTTGTATGTGTTATATTGGTGTGCAGGAGAAGAGCTCGGTCCTGGGTGAACTGGCTCTCAAAGCCAGACTTACAGAAGAAATCCTGAACTCTGTACCTGGGATCAAATGCAACCCGGTCCAAGGAGCCATGTATGCCTTCCCTCAGATCTTCATCCCACCACGAGCCATCCAGGAAGCTCAGGTCTGTCACTGTGCACGTTTTTTTAATTAACTCTGTTTACTGATTTTTTTTTTTTCTTTCCAAAAACACACTGAAGTGCTCATAAGCAATATTGTGTAGTGTTAGAAAAACATCAACATATATTATATTAAAAGACAGTGTTCTTTTTGGCAGCTGTTTTAGACGTAGTGTTTGTCTTTAGATGAAAATTCTTATTTCTTTTACTCATATTTTGATCCTTCATAGTTCTAGTCAAACATTAGTTGAGAGCATCTCAAAGTGTTTTAGTTTTAGCTCAGCGTTTTGTCTCTTTAAATTAGAATCGCAGTGACCGTTTGTGTCACATTTCATTCAGGCATAATTTTTTTTCTACAACTGCAAACAATTTCTACGTATTTCTCCAGCAGTTTTGGGCAGGTTTAAAGGACGCCGCCGCCCTCTGCACACCAGCTGTATCCGTGTCTTTATTCTGTGGCCTCAGGCAAAGCAGCTGATTACAACACAAGCTTAATTTCGGGAGTGGCTGAGCTAAGTGTGTAGTTCCTGTGTGTGTGTCTCTGCAGACTCTGTCTATGGCTCCTGACATGCTGTACTGTCTGAAGCTGCTGGAGGAAACTGGAATCTGTGTTGTTCCAGGAAGTGGGTTTGGCCAGAGGGACGGAACATATCACTTCAGGTCAGACATGAACACTTTATATCAGTGTTGGGGGTAATACATTACAGTAATAGATTATGTTTTAGCAGTAAAGAATATAACGCATTACCAACAGGATTTTGGGTCATATTATTACATTTAAAATGTCATGTGATGCATTACCACCTGAAATAAATTGTTAAGTGTTTTCATTTTTCAATCACTCACATTGATCCACTTCCACCAGTGCGCCACCAGACGTCCTGTATCCACACCTCGACAGGTCAGATTCCCACCGTGGATCGGTCTTGGCTCCGACCTGTCGAGGCACAGACTCAGGACCTCTGCGGTTCTTGTATGCCGCACAAAAACTTGATCAGATTGGGATCTGGAGAACTTGGAAACCAGATTGAGGCCTTGAGTTCTTTGTCATGTTCCTCAGATCGTTCCTGAGCAGTTTTTTTGTGAAGCAAAGTCTTACATGTTTGTTTCACTGTGTTTCTCTCAGAATGACCATCCTGCCGAGCCCAGAGAAGCTGAAAGTCCTCCTCGGCAAAGTGAAGGACTTCCACCTCAGATTCCTCGAGGAGTATTCACAACAGGAACCTACGATCAGCAGAGTCCCCCAAGAACACAGAGACACGTAAAAGCAGCCAGACTGACGCTTTAATGTGTGACAGCTCGTGTAACGTTCATACCGCTTTAAGTTTACTTGTTTTCCAGACCGTGTGTGACAGAAACATTGTGCCTTGTCCTCACATGATATTTGAAGAGGTAAAGGTTCGTCTCCCTGTCCAAACATGTCCAATAAACACACTGTATAGCAGCATCTGAAGCGCACACTCATCTTAAGCTACTCTCAGTATTTCTGTCATGCTCTCATTGACCTGTAGCTCAGTGGTGAACGACCACTGACATCCATTTCCCATCCACACACATCCATGTGATGCTTAGCCAAGGACTTTACCCATCAGCTTGTCATTAGGCGTATGAGGAGTTGTGTGCCTCTTTAAATGCCTCTGTTAAAGTGCAGCTACAAAGATTTTCAGATGTAATTTTTTTTTGTTTGTTTCTGCCTTGCCTTATAAAACATTAAAGGATCAGTTCACTCATATCACTAAACACACACACATACATGTGTACTGTATATTGTGACTCTGCTGTCTTTATTTTAAATATCTGTCTCTGAGACTTCTGCCTCCATCACAGTGATGTCAGTCTGAATGGACTTTATGAAGATTATGGAAACTAAAAACTCAACTGCAGTGATTTTCAGAACAAAGCCTCCGATCTAAGCAAGACAGATTATTTTGCCTTCCAAAATGCCCCTTATATCAGTCACCTGTTGTTAAAGATTGACTGAAGGGTTGTATGAGATATTTCTCCATAGTCGGTGTATTACTTACAGCTCACCCCCAGTCAGAGAGGTCCGACACGAAAGCTGTGGATGGAGCAGCAGCAAAATGCATTTCAGCAACCTAATAAAATCTAAATTGGTTTAAGTGTATGCTACATTAAGAATATTTTCACCACTTTACCTCAATGTCAGACTGATCTCCAGCTGAGAACTGAAGCTGTTACATCACTCTCTCTTCAAAGCCAGACTCCACTGAGAAAAACAGTGATTTGACATCACTGAACACAGGAGCTGCTCGTCCACTGCTGCCTTAGTCTGTAGGTTAGTTCATCTTATTGTGTGACTTTGGTGTTTTAAAGTGTCAGTTCAGACTCACCAAAGTCACACAATAACACAGACTAACTAACTGATTGAGGCAGCATGGAGTCTGGCTTTGACCAGAGCATAGATGGGTAACTGAAGTTGTTAATGGCTCCCCTGTTGGAACAGGGTGTCTGACAGAAAGGTAAAGCAGGGGAAATATTCTAAATATAGCGTACACTTAAACTGGTGTCTGAAATATGTTTTGCTGCTAACCCTGTCCACAGCAGTACATTCCTTAGCTTCTGTGTCGCTTCTCCAAACTGGGGGACTGACATCTTCTGAATGTAATATACTGAGTATTGATAAGTAGTATGGAAATGCACTGATGCCACGCCAGAAACGTAAACTGGTCAGATTAGGATGAGAGGCTGGATGAGAATAGATTTTGGGATACTAGAATAAATGTAGACAAGGTATACATTGGTATAAGATCAATAGAAGCAGGGGTCTACCACAGCAGACAGGACCCCAGGTGCAGGCTGTGCGAAGATGCTCCTGAGACAGTTCAGCACATAACAGCAGGGTGTAAGATGCAGGAAGAGCATACATGGGATGCCATAACCAAGTGACTGGCATAGTGTACAGGAACATCTGCACTGAGTATGGGCTGGAAGTCCCAAGGTCACAATGGAAGACACCTCCTAAGGTGGTTGAGAATGACCAAGCTAAGATCCTGTGGGACTTCCAGATCCAGGCTGACAAACTGGTGATGACTGACCAACCAGACATGGTGCTGATGGACAAACAACAGAAGAAGGCAGAGGTGATGGATGACAGCAACATCAGGAGGAAGGAACATGAGAAGCTTGAAAAATAGTGCTGAAAGAGGAGCTAGAAAAGATGCAGGGAGTGAAGGCAACAGTGGTGCCAGTGGTAATGGGAGCACTGGGAGCTGTGGCCCCCAAACTGGGAGAGTGGCTCCAGCAGATTCCAGGTACAACGTCTGAGGTCTGTGTCCAGAAGAGTGCAGTCCTGGGAACAGCTACGATACTGAACCCTCAAACTCCCAGGACTGGTAGAGGACGTGAGCCTGAGGAAGAGGAAGACACTCCAAGCTTTTTATTTTTTTTATTATATATTTTTTAATTTATATTTATCAATATATTTATTTGTAAATATGTAGAATATATTTAAAAATAAAGATTATATTTTTTTTTATATATAAAATTACTTTTATTGTATTTAATCACAGTATAACATAAACTAGATCCTGTTTTTTTACGTCCTCCGGAACGCTAGGTGGCGCTGTGCACCGTAGAGCTGGTATTGCAAGCCGCCTAAAACCGCATTGAAGAAGAAGACATAAGCCGGAAGCGGAAGTGTAGTGGAAAACATGGCGGCGCCCTGTGTGTACACATTCAGGGCGAGTCGTTTCCAGTCTATAAAACTGTTCTAACGTCCTCTCTGACTCTGTGGACACTTTATCCTGAGAGCTGAAGACACAGCTGGAGTCAGGATGTGGACGAAGACAGCCGGAGCGTCCCTGAGGATGATGAGTCACCTTCATCGCTGCTGTGTCCACACAGTGTGGAGGAGGACGGCTGACGGCAGACAGACTCAGCTGCGGCTCTGCAGGCTGCTCTCATCATCCGGACCCCCCTGGAGGGTCCTGTTCTTCGGCTCCGACCAGTTCGCTGTGGAGTCCCTCAGACTGCTCTCATCCAGCAGGTGGGACTCGAGTCCTCCGACACACCTTCAAGGGTTAATATGATCAGAGACAGGTGACACTGCATCACACTGAGAAAGTGAAACACATCATCATCATCGCCCACGTTAAACACTAACATACATATTTTCATAACAAACATTGGGCCTCGTGCAGCAACATGCTCTGAAATATCATCTCATATTTCCTCCTGATTTTCTGTTTAGAGAAAAAATAAGAGAAGTCAACTATTTTTGGATGAACTGTCCCTTTAAGTGCGGTCACAAAAAGGCTTAAACTGATGACAGGTGTATTTGTTGGAGCTCTTCATCTTGCAACTCATGAAGTGAGGGTGTGACACTAACCTTCATGTTGTGTGTGTAGGAGCTCCAGTGAGGGGGTGGTGGAGTCCCTGGAAGTTGTGACTTTGTCTGGTGACGTCCCAGTGAAGAGGTTCGCTCAGCAGAACCACATCCCACTCCACAGCTGGCCCCCCGACACTGCTGAGGGACAGTTTGATGTCGGGGTGGTGGTGTCCTTTGGCTGTTTACTGCACGAGCGTCTGATTAACAAGTTCCCACAGTGAGTATTTATGTCTCTCAGGGTGCTTTCACACCTGCCCTGCAGTCACATGACACATTGTTTGGGTTAAACATGAGCATGTTACAGTCCTGGAGGATTATTAATGTGCACCTCCTCCTGTACTGCCTTAATATGCACATTCAGCACATCCAATGCATCAAAACATTGTTTTCTAGTTGGAGCCGCGCCTCGTTTTCAAACTGTATGGTTTGACTAAAATGAACAATGACAGCAATATAGTCCACGATGAGCAGCAGGTTTCAACTGCCTGATCATCTGACTGCTGTTCGAGATCAACAGATTTATCGGTTTGGCTAATTAATTGGCACCTCTAGCACGTTTTAAAAACTATCGTTATTGGCAGAACTTGGCTTTGATAGCGACTGATGGCTGCGCAGCCTTCACCAGTTCTGTGGGGGGACACATCACTGAGCAGAGCTGCAGAGGGGAGGGTGGTGTCTACATACGTTTGGCCATATTTTGTGTTTATAAAATAACTAATTAAGCTTAAGGACTACATAAAACAAAGCTGCTCAACTTTTGGTTTAATGAATGATTTGTTTAACATGAAATTTGATCACATTATGATCCTTCTCAAAACACACAGCAAGGTGGTGTTAGCCCGAAGCCTCGGCCATCACACACAGTCCTCAGAAACAGTGTCAAATCTAAACAGAGAGTATGAAATTATAAACTATATATAAACTCCATGTGTGTGTCTGTGCACTCGCTCTCTCCCTGCAGCGGGATTCTGAATGTCCACCCCAGCCTGCTGCCTCGGTGGCGAGGTCCAGCACCCATCTTCCACACCATCCTGCACGGTGACACAGTGACAGGGGTCACCATCATCCAGATCCGCCCTCACAGGTAAACAGAGAGGAAACATCTCAGTGTTCTTCCTGTTTCATCCTCACAAACAAACAACCAGATTAAAATGTCCTCACACCGCAGGTTTGACGTTGGCCCCATCCTCCACCAGGAGCTCCATCAGGTCCCTGAAAACTGCACAGCTGATGTTCTCAGCGCCGTCCTGGCCACTAAAGGAGCACATCTGGTGAGCTGTTGGAACATTACCTGGTTACCTCTCACTGACAGCATGCTGACGTAGTGTTTGTACTCTGGTTTGCAGCTGATTGACACACTGAGGACGCTGCCCGACAGAGTGGCTCATAGAAGAGAGCAAACACAGACTGGTGCAACATTTGGTACGTCTGAGCCACACAGACACAGTCATGATGAGTATAAGAAGAATTCTTCAAACTTACACATTCATTTCCTCCAATAGCCCCAAAGTTCAACAGCTCCCTGAGCTGGGTGGTGTGGGAGGAGCAGACCTGTGACCAAATAGATCGTCTGTATCGTGCCATCGGATCACGGGTAACCACTGATCTGGACTGTTTAACTGAGCCACTGATTAGTGTTGAATATTTGACTGTAACGATCCGTCTCTCTGCCTCATCAGATCCCTCTGAAGACCTTATTTATGGGCAGGACGATAAAACTCATGGATTTTGTAGGACGATGTCACATTTCATTATTAGGTAAGTTTGTCAAAATCAGATTTATTGGACCATGAATACATTTACAGAACATGTAGACTTTTTTAAGTTAAGATAAGAATAATTATTGGATTATCCAGTTAATGTGTTTGTTAATGTAGAAATGATTCTGGTTTCAGGAGGTGTAATAAGCCTCAGTCCTGTTTGTTATAATCTTGAATATGTTTCGCTGGGTTGCTCTGTTAGGAACTGAGATATTTTGACGTGTTAACACCAGATCCATGTTTCTGATTACTGTCTGCAGTGTGTGCAGGTGTGTTAACTTGAGATTAGCGTGTGTGTATTTGGTGTTGGCCAGTCGCCAGAGGAAAATGTTGGCATTGTTTGTTTCTGCAAACGAGGCTATGGATATGTTATATTTGCATGTTTCGTACATATCATATCTGTTAGAGCTGTTTCTTGCAAGCCCTTCTAGTTTCCTATTATTTTTAGTCACCTTAATGCACCACCTGACCTGGCATCTCAGGAACCTTTTAGATAAAGGTAGGTGTGCTGAAGTGTGGAAGACACCATAGGGTTACAGTTCAGTCAGGGCCACTTTAGACAAAAGAAAACTGTATTTCCATTTGCAGTGTTATATTTGGACTTGTGGCTCTGCTCTGGGGCCTCTCTGCCCTTCCTCGGGCCTATGCAGAAAGCCTAAGGCGGAGAGAGCACACCTCTCTGCCCTTCCACGTGTCTATGTGGAAAGCCTAAGGCGGAGAGAGATGGTAATGGGCTTCCTTCTGAATCTGAGCGGAGCTTGGCTTTGAGCCCGGCGCAGCACCTCCACACAGTCTTGGTAGTTATGTAACTTAGCCATAGTTTTGCGCAGGTTGCTGCCGGGGTTCTTTGGTGTGAGACCCAGATGTGGCCGATCCACGAGGATGTCGTTTTGGATTTGAAGCACCTCAGACAGTAATCTAGACACAGACTCACTTGAACTCTGTGCCGAGGAGGCGGTTGCTGTGGTGTTAGACAGTCTGTTGTACTTGTATCTCTGAAGATTAGTTGCAATTACTGTGTAAAAACTGCAGCTTTGTAGGGAGCATTTTGGCAATTAATGACCTCGTTTATAGATCAGCACTGTTTTAAAAACTCAGCAGGAGTTCGGCAAAAGACGTCTTACTCCATTACTCACTCTCAAACGCCCCTCTTTTGTGCCTAAACCTAACCACACATTAACTACAGCGTATGGTATACAGTGTCTGCTACATAATAACATGCACATGTAACATATCCGTGGTTAATAAAAATGTACAGTGCCAACATTTATCCTGGCGCTTGTGTTGCCTGTGCTGATCCAGTGACGTGCTGTGAGTCTGAGCTGTCACATGTCACTTGTGTGCTTTTTCAGATGAAAGGAGGAAACCGGTCCCTGGCTCAGTGAGCTATCAGAGGGAGTCCAATACTCTGGCTGTCTGTTGTAAGGTCAGTTACACTCTGATCTGTTTTGATTAGGAGTGAAAATGAAAAAGCAGTATTCATACTAAAAGGTTTGATCAGTGATCTCTGTAAAGGCAGATCAGAAGAGCCAATCAGATGACCCAAAACATGAGAGACAATTTCTATAAAGTGTCTTCTCCTTTAGATTTGTGTCGTTCTGACAAGTTTGTGGCTCAAACGTTTTTGTTAATCTGTGCTTCCTGTTCCAGGACGGCTGGGTGGGATTCAAGGCCGTGCTTCTGAAGAAAAGACTTACAGCAGCCGACTTCTATAACGGCTACCTGCATCAGACGGTGCAGAAGAACACACCTTATCAGAGAGGTGAAGACCTGTTTGTCAGCAGGAAACAAGGATCTGAACCTCAGCCGACGAGAAAGAACTCAACATCCTGATACAACAATCATCCTCCTCCTTTATGTGAACGTTGCGTACATGACATCTACTAATTACATTTACAGTAGTTCATGTGTTACTCTGTCTGTTTTAAGACATCAGTATGTACAGTACATTTACTGTATCCATGTATTTATAATTCTGCCACTGTACTGTTCATTTATTTGCAATAAATGAATGTGTTAATGACTGAAATTAACTTTTTTTAAAAATTCAAACAAAGTCAGTGAACAGTGGTTAATACACCTGCTACAGAGCAGCGTGTTAAAGGGACAGTTTGGATCTTGTGATGTGGGGTTGTATGAGATACTTATCTGTAGTCAGTGTATTACCTACAGTTTGGAGAAGCAGCAGGAGTGCCGACACAGAGGCTAAGCAATGTACTGCTGTGGACAGGGGCAGCAGCAAAATGTATTCTAGCCATTCATTAATTTTCCATTTCATCGTGGTCACACTGGGCGTAATTAAAACAGTCCACACCAGTGAATTACATGTTAAGTCAGTGTAAACATGCCATGAGATGTGAATCCTGCCAGATGGCGTGATGGACACTACATGAATGATGGGAAATATGCAAATGAAGTGAGCAGGGTGATTTCGCATCATGCGCTTTTTCGCAAGAGTTGAAAAATTTGAACTTCACTGACCAATTTGCCCCGTGACAGCACTGATATCCTCTGGGGACGTATGACGCCGAGGACCTACCAGTGGAAGATCATTTAGCAATTCAGCAATTTCACGTGTGTATGAAGAAAGTCAACACAAAATATTTTAGCGTTCAAACTTGCGCGCGTAACGCGACATGAAAGTTACAAATGTAGTTAAACTACTCAATTACATGTAGATTAGCACTCCTCAATGCTGCCTTATTTATTGCATTTAGATATATTTGGGTCTTTTTTTCTCTCTCAAATTCAATTAATAATATTTTTGTTTTAACTTTAAGGTCGTTATTGATCCTTTTTTGATTTCCAGCAAAGTTCAATGTTTCAACTGTACTTTGAAAGTATTGTATTTAATTTTGTATTTATTCATGCACAGTGAGAAATAAAACATAATGCACATTTAGACTTTTTTATACTTTATTCAACAATACAATGTACAATACTACAACAGCTGAAAATTGAATAAATACAATATCAATACATAGATATTTATAATTCTTATAATAAATAAAGTAAGAATGGACATTACATTAGAAAACAAAACAAATAACAACAACAAAAAACAGTTCATTTCACATCAGGGGGTTTCATCAAATTTTTTTTGTAATATTCTAAAAACCTGTTACTATTCATGCACATTAAGGTTTTGTTTTTTTAAATAAACTTTATTGAACAATTAAAAATTACAACAAGAAAGCAGAGTTAGTTGTTAGGAAGTGAATGTGATGGGGCGCCTCTCAGTGGACCGTACCACGTTACACTTTAACCCAGGGAACTGTCACGTGCGCTTTTACTACCGTGTCATAGAACATTAAACATTAAATATCGCATTTAAATAAAAGTTTTTCTATTAGAAAATAAAATTATACACACAGTCAATAAAAACTGTCTTGAGGCAAACAGCAGACATGATGTAATGTGTTAATGGCCCCTTCCCTCCACCCCCACCCCCCCCGCTCACAGTGGTAACGGTTCAGTCTGCCATTTTACACAGTGTCTGCTAGCTGAAGCTCCAAAGTGACAGACCACAACTCACCGTGAAGGAGTCAGCCTGTTTGCTAAAGTACAGCATGAGTGACGTCATGTTGTGATCAAACATCCTGCCCAACATTTTGTTTTTAAGCACAAGTCAAATTAACAGTGGCGTAGAAACGCTGGTAAGTTGAAGTTCTCTGTTGTAGCTAGCTAACGTTACCATAACATGACACGGTGCTGTGTGTAGCTGCTCACTGGTTTAGCTAACACTGCTGTGTGGCTGTGTGTGTGTGTCAGAGTGTGTGTCATGTACAGTCTGCTTTAACGGGCCAACAGCAGCTTGGTGATGTGACTAACATGTTGACAGTAATGTCTTTATGACATGACGTCACGGCAGAGTTGCTGTGTGTTGCACCAGTTAGCTATGGCGTGTGTTTCAGGTGCCGTTAACCTGCATCAGTGCGCAGCTCTGCTATGCTTTTGTACAAGGTGTGTAGTTAACGCTGTATCTATCCGTAAAGGGAATATGCACGTGATGTCACAGAACGCGGAAGTCGCCACTGTCGCTCCTCCCACAGATATTGGGGTCTGTCATCATCACTCACATGAAGCAACCCTGCTAAAATTATACAAACAGGCTGTGTGAAAACATGCATGCAGACATTAAAGTGCAGCAAAGAGGTGTTGTTTGAATGTGTGTGTGTGTGTGTGTGTCTCATGTTAAAGGAGCACTTCGCCCCCAGATGGATCAGTTATATATTAATCACTCACTGCGTGTTGTGTTGAATTCATGAAGTAGACATTGTTTTTCTCGCCTCCATGGTGAATGGAGAATCACAGAAGACCTGTAATATATTGAGGTCACTGGGGACCATACATGACTTCAATGAACTACAACGGGTCGCGCGCCGGTGACGTCATAGGTGATAGAAACATGGGATTTTGACTGGCGGCAGAGCCTCTTCACACACATATAGGTTGACCAAACGTCCTTTTTTGCCCGGACATGTCCACTTTTCACTTCCTGTCCAGGGCGTCCGGGGGATGTTTATAAATTGATGATAATGTCCTGTTTTCCTTTTGTGTATGTGTGTGTGTATGTGTGTGTGTGCGCGTGCGCGTATTTCTGTCCGAACTTGACAGTCATTCTTAATGTTATTCTGTTTTGTTATGTCCGAAACCGAACCGAGCCCGACATTATTTAATTATTAAAGCACTGAGTTTGTGTCACGCAGTTGTTATGGTTACAGGCTATTTAACTGGCCGGGCGTGCGCCTGGAGGGAGATCTCCATGTTTGAGACGGGAGTGGGCGGCGGGAGTGGGCGGCGGGAGTGGGCGGCGGGAGGTCCGACGCTTCATGCGAGGGGAGAGGTAGAAACAAACAGCCAATGTGTGTGTGTTCTGTTCAGGTGTTGTCACGTAAATAACAGTGCCCAAGCAATAAACAGGACAGACAATAGGATTTTATTTATTTTTACACTACATTTTCACTGAAAGCTGACCGAATCCGACCCGAGCCCGAATACAATTTATACATTTTTGACCAAACCCAAACGACCTGTCGGGTATGCCTATCGTTGGGACCTGTCGGGCTCGGATCAGGTAGCCACACTCTAGTGTGTGTATGTGTCCCCTATCTATTGGGGCCTATCTGAATTTCTGTCTTTGAGAGATATTATTTTGTAATATAACTGAATTTTCTATCCATACATATAAACTTTAAATATATTAAAATTATAAGGCATCTTTGAGTAAACTGCGAGTATCATTTAAGTAGGCTTTCTCGTGGCCGGGCCGAGTGTCCTCTTTTTTGGAAATCAAAATATGGTCACCCTACACACATAAAGTGTAAATAAAAACAAATCAGTTGAGTCTTTCCCCTTCGGATGAAATGGCCAGTCAGGCTACATGCTACAGAGAGAGTTTAAGAGGTCCTGATCGCCTTCGGTGCGACGTGAAAGTGAAAATGATAGGAGGTGTGTGCCCTTTTCAGCTGCCAGCCTCTGTGTGGACGAATGACCCTGTCAATTCATTCATTCAGTTCATGTCCTGTCGATTAACATTCATTAGAATTAACTTCTTGGCTTTGAATATCTTGTGTTATTGTTGAGATCAACTGACTTTAGCTCGCTAGCTAACGTTATCCAACTAACGTGTGATGAAGTGCCTGCCACAGACGTAATGTTAGGTGTAGTGACTGGCTGGATCCCACAGCTTTCCATGTTTACCCTGCCGTTTGATGGCTGTGAGCCACAGATTTCTTCTTTCCCCGTTCTTCACTCTCTCCAGGAGCAAAGAAAATCACAATTCTGTTTTTTTTTTAATTTTTTATTGTTTGCTATGCAGTGAAAAACGCATCAACTTTTCGGCATGATGAACTCCTAGCCGCAGCTCTCTCCCGGGTCGAGCTCAAAACTCTCACCCAAAAGGGGGCATGGCCGTTGTTAGAGCAGTGAGTGACGTTGCATTGAAGTCATCTATGTCTAGCAACAGCAAAACATCAGTTTCCAAGCTGTCACACCACTTGTACAATATAGGCTAATCGAAGTATTATTTATCCAGCCTTAGCCAGGTTCAGACGACACGATATCAGCCTGATTATAGCCCATCGCAGCTGTCGACCAGTGTCCACTGGGAATGACGATGAGTGTTGTACGTGATAATCCATCATTTTAGTTGTGTCAAAACGAAAAAGGAGTACTTCGCACATCTGTTTTCAAACAGGTGCGGGAGTCTTGCATGCCTTGCATGTTTGATTTTTTTTTTGTCCTCCACGACTTCTCCCGTCACATCTGTCACTTTGACCAATAGGAACACAGAGCGATCTGCTGCCGTGGAAACTGTAGGACAACAGCATAAGTCATTGGGGACCGTGTCTAACAAACTAAATCATAACACCCGTTTACAAACTCTCACACAACTCACACGGCATAATCCAAGTGTCATTTATCCAGTCTTATGCCCAGTACTTCCCAAACCATGGTTGGAAAGAGGGATACATGATAATATCGGTATGTCATCAGTATCGGCTGATAATGGCTTTAAAATGATCAGTCGTCCAACATGGTTTTTCTTATTTTGCACAGGTAATGAATATTACATACATTGAGAAGTGCTGTATTTTTTCTGCATGGCAAATATCTGTTCTCTAAACATTGGATTGTGTTGTTAATGTTTTAACTTGCATCTTGAGTCTGTTCATCAGTCGTCGGAGTTCCTTTTTTGAATGACGGATACAAACTGCCTCTGCCTGCTGCTGTTGACAGTTATCTCCTCTTACGCAGAGCACGTGGCCAGTTGGTCAATGGCTACAGGCTTTACTGAATGTTCAAGGGCAATTTTTTGACTGAGACACAGGCAACATGAGGCGATGCAACAGTCAGCTTTTGTTGCCACTAGTTCTTCAATGTCGGTCTGGTGTGTCTGGGCCTTTCGAGCCCAGTCCACTGTGACTGTAAACTGATTCCACTGTCACATCTTTTCCTGTAGGAGGGAAGTGTACATCTTTATGGTGTTAGCACAGATCTGTCCATTTGTAAATATGAGAAAGAATAAGCTTTGTGACAGAAGTTTTTGAAAGGGCCGTGTGAAAACGGTCATGGGAGCACAGAAGGAATAGTGTTGATGGGGCTCTATAATAAGTGTCTGCATGTAATTCAGGTTTATGTGCTGTTTGATTGCTTTAAAGTGAACCGATAAAACAATAATATCTGTGTCAGTCATGCAGGAAGAAATGTAAGTTTTAATGTCGAGCCAGTTGTTGGAATTTGAGTTATTAGTTATTTGTCAAGACTTCAACGTTGTGAAATCGACTGAGTGTGTTCACTCTGCTCAGCTCCACCACTTGCTGCGTCTTGCCCAATTGTGCTTATGTAAATAAATATTGCAAACACAGTCAATCAGTTACATGTTTCTTTTTTTATTTTCAAGAAGATTTTTTTGAGCATTTTTCACCTTTATGAGACAACAGAGGCACATGTTGCATACTATCAGATGTTGTCCTCTTCTCTCACACAGGCTGTGGCTCAGAGAGGTTAGAGGTCACAGGTTAGAGGTCTGTAGGGTGAGCAGGGAGAAGCAGGCTGTGTGCACTACTCAGCATGCTTTAATTTCTGTCCCTTTGGGCATAGCTGCTCTCCAACTGTTACCTCCTGCCACCACTATAACTATATTTCCTCTCCTGTGTGACAGTTTCGTCTCATTAAATAGTCAAATCTTGATCTGAAGATTCTGCACACGATCAGCTTGTAATTAAGAGCTTTGCTTTTCTGATACGGGCCCATTGCTGCATGTGTAAAAGTCATTGATACCTGGCTTTGTGACAGCAGTAATCTCCCTGACAGGAGCCACAGATGGGAGGGTTGTGTTAAATGATCAGTGGGTTCAGCTCCAGAGAAAGCAGCTCCCTCCTGCTGTGTGACTGTGTCTGTGTTCTTCATTTTAACATGTATTTACATGGGTTTTTGGGTTGGACTGCAACAGCGGGGCAAAGCTTGGTGAATGCCTCCACTTCGTGTTTCAAATTAAAAGCCCTCTAATGTTTCATATACGGTCCAGCCATAGGTTTTGTCTTGTTCTCCATCAACCACCCGTCTGTGTCTCTAACTCAGGTTACTGATTCATGTGTTCAGTGTCACACTGTGTGAATATTTGTCGTGTATTTATCTGTAATTGTCTTTGTGTGTCTGCTGTGTTGTGTGTCCTATGTCTGTGTGTGTTACCAGTAGTAGTGAGAGGCCCTGGATGGATAGCCTGGACCCTGAAACCCTCTATGTGTCTCCAGAGCAGACTGGACAGCCCACACTCCCCCTCCCCACATCGGATGTCCCCAACTTGGCACTAGGGGGGTAAGAAGCCTTCAGTCTACCCTGTTCTCCCATAGCACTTTGGGGGACAACAGGGGCTCGTAGAAAATCTGTCATCACCCAGTGTCCTCTGTCCACACCATGCAGCCATGTCAGTCAGTCTGTACATAGAAAACTATAAACAAAAACATAAGAGCCACAGTTCAGTGGGCTTAACCACAAAAACCCCTCTGGAGCCATGGAAATGTACGACCCTCCTTCCACAATAATCATATATTTGTGCATGTGCAATGAAGCAGAATATGGATGCATGATAGCCACCTGTCTCATCACACAAAAACAACAAAATTTAATACACACACATCACACTCGCTCTCAGCAGGCATAACCAGTAACTTATGAACCAGTGGCAGCAGCGGCTAGAAAAATATCAGTAACCTGGAACAGCGGTTGTTTTTAGATTTTAAAAACTCATCCTCTGATGACTAAAAACGTTAAAAGTCAAAGACGAAATACTAAAGTTGAAAAAAGCTTTGCTGTGCGTACAGGAGCACAGAATTTAATGTTTTTTAACAGGATCTAATCAGAGCAAGAGTTCAGTTTTTTTTTTTTTTTTGTTTGCCAAAATCTTAAATGAGACATTTAGGATAAAGTGATCTTGATGAAAAATCGCAGAATCGCACATGATATGTTCAAGGTGCGTTTGAAACATGATTATCTGCCCATAATTTATCTTTATATAGTTTCTGGCTGTGATAAATGGTGTACGTTTGGTGTTTGGTTTAAAAAAAAAACAAGCCTTTCAAACTGCCGGTGGGTTTTAGGGTTCAGAGGGCAGTTAAAAGCCTCATTTCCACCACACCCTTTCAGTCCAGCACCTCTGGAACCAGCAGTAAGCCTTCAGACATGGTACCTAGACCCTTGGTGTGTTCAGACAGTCCTCTTAAATGTGGGCGGGGTTGTTGTCACTCACTGCTCCGTCCAGCACTCGCTGTATTTCCTCATCAGCGGTGACACAGATGGAAGTCTGCACCTGGTTTATCGTCCACAGAACGAGGCTGCACGCCCACATTTTCATAACAAAATAGAACAGGCTGCAGTGAGAGTCTCTCTCCATGGGATATTTAAAAATAGCAGCTTTGTGCATTTAGTCCTTCTCAGGCAAGCTCAGGGGTTTAGTGTTGCTGTAGCCCACAGGAAGTGAGGATTAGAATATATGACCTTCACATAATCTGGTCGAAATTAATGTATTTTAAACACTTGAAGATCCCCTCATTACTAAAAGTGTCTGTCATCCAAGAGAGACAATAAAAACTAATGGCAGCGCTCGACAGTGCGAGCGTTTCACTCGCATTTGCGACTAAAAATAGGTGTGTGCGAACTGTAAAAAATATTTAGGGGCACATGTGCGCATAAAAAAATCAGTCGAAGCAGCCTATATTTTTGTCAGTAAAAAAATATGATAATCTAACCGCAAATGTTGGAGGAACTCCAGCTGCCTTCCCTCTTCCCCATGTGATACGGTTATGGGCAGTTTTCCAAGCCACTGTCGGCACAATGAATATAAGTCCCACTGTCGGCAGCGTGGAAATAAGTCAAAGTGTGGAGGAGACGGACCGGGTTAAGTGGCAGACCTCCGGGGAAGCCTGCTCTGTTCTCCCCGCAGTTAGGGACCGTTCTCCACGGCCAGGCTGTCGGCTGGGTGAAAATAAGTCAAAGTGTGGCGGAGAAGAGGGACCAGGAAAAGTGGCGGACCTCCGGGGAAGCCTGCTCCGTTCTCCCCGCAGTTAGGGACTGTTTGCCACAGTACCGCTGCTGGGTAGGGTGGAAATAAGTCCTGCAGAGTTTCAGAGGACCTGGAGAATGTTTTAGGATAGTAATAACATTATATAAGATAATCATATTGCAAAGATAATATATATAAGATAATAACATTAAAGACAAAATTAAATTGCAATACTTTTTCAAAACTTGATGATTTTACCTTTCTGTACATTTTGTATACAAATTCATTAAATAATTTTGCTTGTAAATGTCTATTTGCATCACGTTTATTATGGAAAACACATTATTTGATCTATTTACATTGTGCCCCTAAAGTTCTTTGTGCACTCCTTACTTTTTCAACTTAGGAGCACATGTGCTCCTTGGGAAAAAGTTAGCGTCAAGCCCTGAATGGAAAGGTCAAAGTTGTCACAGTGAAATTTAAGGTGTGCTGATGGATTCACGTCATCAACTCATGCATTGAGTAACATTACAAGTTAATGTTCCACCTTAAAAGTTGCCGGCAGTCGGCCCAGTGAATGAAGTTATTTTTTCTCAGACTCCAGCTGCTGTGAGAGGCAGCAAAACATCCTTTCATTTTATAGTTACAGTTTACTAATAAAACTCTCCACAGTATGAACAGTGGTTACATGAGCCTCAAAACCAGACACAACTCAGCCCTGAGCAGAGTGACCGTCTTCTACTGACCAATCAGACTGCAGTGTTCACAGCTCCACCTTTTAGTACCAGATCTGTGTGCTAGGTACCCCAACAGAGGGGGGACCAAACATGGGGACGGTTAGGAACGGTTCTATTGGTACCATCCACAACTTTTCAGAGTGGAAACAGAAACATACAGGACTGCCTGGTGGAAATGGGGCAAAAATGAATACAAAATACAACCATTTAAAGTTGTACGCCCTCCCCTTAGCCCAAAAAAGTCCCCTGTTTTGCACCACATCCTCCCCCGTCATAAATAATGAATCGTCCCTAATACCCTGAGATGATGATAGATGTAAAGCTTTCCATAAAAGAGATTTGGTTCGACGCTTTTAGAAAGACGCTCTTGTTATTTCACTGACTTGTTTGTGGTCTTAGGAAAATAGCATCCTGAGATAATTGAGTGCTGTCATGTTGCAAAATAAATACGCACTAGTTTGTGTAACTTTTTTATTTTTGCGCTATATTAACTCCACTGTTTTGTTCCATACATCCCTGGAGTTCACCTCGTTCCATTGGTGTGTGTATTTGTGTGTGTGTGTGTGTGTGTGTGTTTGTGTGTGCACAGTGGGCTGCACACAAAGACCAAAGCCAGTGTCATTTGACATCGGCTGCCCTCTGTTTTTACACACACAAATCACACACAAACCAGTGCAGCCTGCAGGACAACAGGGTAAACACAGACCCCCTCAGGCCGGAACCTAATTGTTAGCCGCTGGTGTGGCTAGTCCGGGGATTAGCTACTGGCTGGGGAGCACTATTCACTCCCTCTTTCATTCCCTTTGCCCACTGGGCCTTATCACCATCAATCTGACACCCTGTTTATCTGACGCTGCAGCTAGATCTGCTGGCCTAGGAGAAATGTTCACAAAGGCCGTGGATCATCAGCACTTTGATTGTGGGAGCCCAAATGGCCATTACTTTCTCTGGCCCCAGTGATCCCAGCAGCCCTCCATGATCTCCATGCAGTTGTCAGTCCCAGTCCCAGAGCCTGGAAAGCCGACCTGAAGGCCTGTCACTTTGTGTCTGTCATTTGTGCTCTCCTTCCATCTCAAACCAAGGCGACTCCTCGGCCAAGTTCTGTTTGTCGTGTTCATGTTCCAGTGGACGGGTTCTCCATGTGGATTGGTTTGTTGCCGCACACTGTTTTTCTCTGCCTTTCGTGCGCTGTCGGCTGCCTCAGTTTAACCTTCAGCAGGACTTACCAACAAGTGTTCGATCTGGAGTTTACCACCACCCTCTGATCGCTGCGTCAGTTTAGCTTCATTGTCGTGTTGTGTTCAAAGAAGAAGGAAAGAAACGAACACATTTTGCCGTCATGGCGTCTTTTAAGTTGGATTTTCTCCCTGAGATGATGGTGGACCATTGCTCTTTGAACTCTAGTCCTGTGTAAGTAACTTCACTTTTGAAGTTCTTTCTTTTTTTTTTTTTAAGGTTGTCGTATGTCTCTGGAAACCAGCTTGGACAGATCGGTCATTTTTAAAGTCTTTATTGTGATTTTGTATTTAATTAGTAATAATCAGGAGCAGCTGTGTTGTAGAGCGTAGCAGTGTAAATCATCATGATGCAATATTACATCAGTTCTTTGCACGAGACAATATTTGCCGATATTACAAAGTCTGCCACGATACAATTTCGATTTGATGCAATTCAGGGGCCTGTGATGAATATGAGGCGATATTAAATACACAATTAACACAGTGTGTTACAGAAGAAGCTAACACCCCTTTCATTTTTGTTTTTGGCTATAACAACACATCAGCAATATAAATTATTGTAAACTGACTCCACTAACACACATTACACAGCACATAGAATAAGTCAACCTTCAGGGTTTTCTGTCAGAGACCTTTCTGGAAGAAATGTTTTTATTTTAACCCAAACCATGAACTGTTTCCTGTAACTTCAGGGTTATCTGACTCGAAGCCTTAAAGGCAAACTTCTCCCACCAGCCATAAACATAGATTAACAGTAACGTCATTTAAGTTCTCTGAAAAAACTGTCAAGCTACACAGACGAAACATTTGTTTTTGCTAGTCACCCATTGTTAGCCTAAGCACCTTTACATTGCATGAATTAGCTTAGCGGCTAGCAGAGTTTTCTTCTGCTCATAGCTTAAAAAGTTGCATGTATTATTTATATTTTTTGTTACTCACTGTTGGTTTAAATCACAGGTTCTCTCTATAGAACAGCAGAGTTGAATTTCATGTTTTTTCAGCCCAACATTACTGAAACAGCAGCTAATGTTGCTACAAGGAGTTAGCGGAATGAGATGCCCGACAAGGCAGTTAACTTTACGTCGTGTTTCATCTCGTAGCAGCGTTGTTTATGTACGGCATGTGTAAACAGTTTGTCTGTTGACCCGTATTTTCTCCAAAATCTGAAATATTTCCACACTGCTGATTTATTCCTGAATAAACATCGTCATCGTCTTTCTCCTGGCTGCTCGACATTATCTATCTGCTGCTGTCTGATGGTGACACAGAATATCAAAATAACGCGAATACTAAATATGATGATATAGATCGATGTTTTCTCTTTGCATTGATGATGTTGGATCGTTGATCGTTGAATCAATATAAAGATCCAGATAGATGGATGGTAACACCCCTAGTGGAGTGTCAGGGTGGCACCCTTCAACACGCCTTCCTTTAAGGTTTGGTTTTGTGTTTTGACTGATTCAGATGATAATCACTTTGAGTCCTTATGGAAGTCTGCCTCTGATTCTTTGCATATTATCTTTGCATGAAACAGTGACTCAAAGTTCTGTGCTCAATAAACTGCTCTAACAAACTAAAATGAACAATCCCACTTCAGTCATCATGACCACATCATCAGTATTCTTATTTCCCAAAATAGTCTTTGAGCATATTTCCCTTGAAAGTTATGTCATTGCATTGGTGTATACGGACATGTTTGATGTTGTTGCAGTGTTCCTACAGTCATGGAAAACCTGGAAGAGCCATGAAATGTCACAGTCACCTTTTCCAGGCCTGGAAAGTTAGGTGTTTTTGTAACGATACATTCATTCTGAGTTGATGCCTGCAACATGTTCCCAAAGAAGTTGGGACAGGGACATGTTTACCACTGTGTGACATCACCTTTTGTTTTAACAACACTCAGTTAGTGTTTGGGGACTGAGGACACTAATTGTCCTAATTGAAGTTTTGAAAGTGAAATTCATTGCTTGATCTGCATCTTAAGTTGTTCAACAGTCCTAGGTCTCTGTTGTCATATTTTGCATTTCATAGTGTGCCATACATTTTCAATGAGGGACAGGTCTGGACTGCAGGCAGGCCAGTCTAGTACGTTAGTGGTGGACTTGCAGCTGGGGAAAGGCTGTAACGGAGAATAGCGGCACTTTCTAGCTGAAAAAAATCACAAATAAAAGCTTCTAAACACGACTGAACATGTTCCAGAGAAATGACCACAATAGCCCCTTTTCCACCAACATTTCCAGGAACTTTTATTTCCAGGAATTTATTTACCTGGGTAAAAAATTCCTGGTATTCTGTGTGGTTTGCGTTTCCACCGCACCTCAGTGTTCCAGAAAATTTATTCAAATCAGGCTGATGACGTCGATGATTCGGCGTGTGTCCTGTATTTAGCTCCGCCAGCTTGGCTGGTTACATGCTGGTGTAGAGAGTTGGGGCTGTTTGTCTCAGCCAGCAGCTCAGTCTAAAAGTATTTTACGATAAGTGTCAAACTAAGTTAGTCTACATACAGACAGCTGTCATTTGAGCTTATTAGTAACAAATCACTATCAGCCGAGCTAGCGTGCTGTCCTTGTGTAAGACATAACGTTAGTGTCGGTGGATGAGAGACTGTGGACGCAGCATATTGAATATCACTGTCTATATGTTGACATGTTCATGCTGATGAACACATGTATTGATAAAGTATTGGTTTCTTACTCGCTAAGGGTTAATGTCACTCACAGTAACGAGTGTAGCTGCCGTCAACTCGAGTCATTTTCGAGTTATCTTTCGTTTCCACCGGGACCGCTCAGCTGTTCAACGGATACGGTGTTGTGTAGGCGTGTGTGTATGTGTGTGGAGGAGTTCAGCGCCAGCACAAAAGAACCAATACCTTTAGTGCTTATCAATACTACGGCCTTTCATCATTTAGCCCCGGGGCTAATTTAGTACCGGGTTTCGGTACCCATCCTTAATCAAAACACAAATTAAGTGAAGCTTGTGGAAATGAAAAAAAAAGTTTGCAGCAGCTGCCCACGCCAGGAAGTGCGGAACACTGCAAGTGTGTGTTCCACCAAGCAGCGTTCTTCAGCACACAGCCCCGCCTCTCAAGAATTCCAGGGAATCTGAAAAGTCCTACCTCCCCTACTTGGTACTTTTTTCACGGAAAGTTTGGGGTTGAGGGAAAGTTTTTTCCCCCGGTAATTTTGGTGGAAACGTGCCAAGGTTTTTCAAAATCCCGGGTAAATGATAAAAGTTCCTGCGGTGGAAAAGGGGCTATTGACAACCAAGATTACATGTTTCACTGGTGTTAGCATCATGTTTTCCTGATGTTAGCATCATGAAACATGATGCTAACTACATGTAGAAGCGTAGACCATGTAACGTAAGTACTTGCAGTATAAATCTGGCACACTATGACATCATACTGTAGCCAGAACAGAGAAATGTTGTAAACAGGTTATTCAGAGTGTTCTGCAGTCTGAGGTCTGTGCTCACAGGGATTACATCTACATATGTTTACATCAGTATTTAAAAAATTTGGCCATGTTTAATATGAACATCCATCATTGTAACACTATGTAAGACATAAAATACAGAAACATATAATAGGTGCCCTTTATACAGTCTTATTGCAGATCAGATACTGACATCAGTAGTCAATGAGCTAGACTGTAAAATTGCAGTTATGCAAAATGTTATACTCCCAGTGGTTATTTGTGACAGGCTTAGTTAATGTTCATTTCAGTGGATGTGTAACAGTGTAAAGGCCTGAACTCTGCATGTTTTGTTGGATGGATGTTCTTTAGGTGATACGCTAAGTTAGGTGTTTCCTCTCTTGGTTGGCACGTAGTTTAATTCTGCTTCATGTCAGTCTTGAAAGATGCATTTATCAGTCAGCAGCCCCTTTTAAACTGCCCATTAAAGGTGGAAATGTCATGTCATTATTCCTGCTTGCTGTCTGTGTAAAAGGCACAATTGTGGAACGGGGGGACAGTTGTCTCACCTTTAAGGAGGTAGCGGGGGTAGTGCTGGTGCCGAATCAATGCAGGAACAGATGGGTGTGACATTTTGCTGGCGTGTTATATGTGTGACCCTCTGCTGGGAGATTTAAAATGCAGTAAGCAGCTAACTCGAAGAAGAACAGCATATTGTGGAGATGACTAGGTCCGGGAGCTCCTTACCCTCTGAGCATAGGAGGAAATTAATCATCATATAACAGGGACTGTAAATGATTGTTAGTATTATATTAAAAAGACACTGCCCACCACGTTATCTTCTTTGTCACACGAGAGGCCGAAGCTGTTGTGCCACACGTCACGCCTCGTTCGCTCACCAAAGGCCGACATCTGATCTTAAATCCCAAACTGAGGCAGCGTTATGCCGGTGTTGTGCAGTTCTGTGTAAAAAAGCAAAGGCAGCGTAATGAAGGGTCTTCGTTGTAGCTCCATCGTGTGTTTCCCACAGAATTAAATGATAGTTGTGGTGGTAGGTGGTAAGGCTGGAGGGGCACAAACCTTCTGTTGCTGCCATTACACAAGTTAGACGTGACACTGCCACTGACGGAGGGACTGCATAGTGTGTGGTTTACATGGAAACGCAGCCAGTTTCAGTTGAAGTAGGTTGGAATAACGATAGATGTGGATGGATCCGCTGTAGGTGTGTTTGTCAGTCCAGTCTGATGCCTTCCACTAAAATGACAGTGCTGTTGTTGAAGAAATAGAACGTTCTGTTGTTATATGAATTAATGAACGGTTGGAGCTTGGCACTCTGTTGCAGCATCTGTGCCCAGAGTACACTCGGCCAGTCCGAATGTGGTGCTCTGAATAACCAAACTGTACGTTTCCACAGTGCTCTGAATTTACCAGTGGTCCAGTTTGTGCCAGACTGTGCTCTATTTAGGAATGCACCCAATTGTGTTAGTAAGCGAGAGTGCAAGAGCGAGGCATGCAGCTCCACAAAGAGAAAATCACTATGTGGTGGTCAGGTTTGATATTGTGGCAGGCTGCCAGAAATAAATTTTTGTGTGGGAAACCAATATGCCAATATTTTTATATTAACAACGACTATATGTTTATGTGAAAGGTGAATTATCACCAACTGTGCAGTCTCCTCTCCTTTGGTGTTATTGAGAACAGCTTTACTGTTTTGGATCAGTCACACTGTTCTCATCAACTGTTCATCCACCAGCAGCTGTTTCCAGTGAAAAAACTCACTGTACACCACCTGGCCTGCACCAGACAGCAGTGAACACAGTTAAAGACTGACTAGTGAACACAGACCTCCTTTACACCTCGCTTTAAAAAGCATTTTGGGTCATCAGATTGGACTTCCACTTTTGTAAAATGAGTAGGGCTGCCCTACGACAAAGAATTTTCCCAGTCGACCAACAGACCTCATCAGGATCCATCAGTGGAGTAGTCTCCTGCATGTTTCTGATATGAATGTAATGATTAAATGATATATTTTGGTGGTTTGAGTTGAAGGTGCGAGAAAGAATAGTATCAGTAACATTGTTAACACTGTGCTACATTACAGAGAAATACAAAACCGTACTAATGAACCTTCATTAATGTAGGCCTATATTTTATCTCCAAGTGCACGTCACACACTGAGCGAGCTGCCTGTTAATGACGCTGTGGGCTAATGGGCATGTAGCTACTTCCATGTTTCAGATGATACGTCATGTTTGTAGTCGACCAATGAAGATGAGTTTACATATCACCTTGGGTTCGTCCTTCACCTTCTCAAAATGATCCCACACTTTGGATTTCCTGCCCGACATGTTATTAACTAGCCTGTGGAATAACCGCAGGTACCAGCCCTGGAGATTAACCTGACTCCTGTCTGACTGCTGAGCGTGGACACTTCCTGTGTCTGTCCTTTTAAAGTAAAGTCCCACATGGTCCAGTCATATAGGTTTGGATTTATTTTGACAAGGCGCAGCTCCTGATAGAGTTTTGCATTTTTTTGTTTTCTGTGACGAAGCGAACAATGAAATCTTGCTGACTAATGACCTTTCTGGTCAACTAACGTTGCATTGTCATGTCAACAAGTAAAACATAACTAAAGGTTAGCTCCATTCTCTTCACTGTGACCTCTGCTTTGGACTGCAGTTTCACATAGGTCACATACTGACCACACTGTTATGACACAAAGCTGGTTGAAAATTGGCAGAGTATCTCTTTAATGACAAAAGCACAATCTCCAGTATCATGAAGTCTACTATGTATTTCACAGAGAGCAGTGAAAAGATGCAAGGATGCTGTGATTATGATTGGTTTGAGTTAAAAGAACAGGGCTGCAAATAACAGGAGAGAGCGGCAGTGAGAGTCAAAACGCCAGGTTTTAAGTGGCGTCTGTCTGTAGCCAAGGCTGTTGAGGTTGACATCTGTTGGTGTGAAGAACTCAAACTATTATTTAATCACTAAGAGTGAACAATGTGTTTAAAGTGTGCAAGTTGAAAGTGGAAGACTCAGAAACTAGCAAAGTTTTGATGGGATATAAAAGTTTGGAAGCCTGTTTTCCATCTACATAACAGTGTCAGAAGACGTGTTGTTGGGAGGTGGTGTCATGACATAAGTAGCATGACAGTTGTTATGTATTAATAAATATCATGTTGTGTTTGTACAAAGAAAAACTAAGATGTTGACCTCAATCTCTCTTTGTTTGTGCATGTGGCAGTGAACAATTGCCTGGTATGTAATAAGCATCCTCATATAATTACTCTTAGAGGTACAATATGTGATTGTTATTATGGCGCAGTCTGATGGCTAGAAATTTTTTGGCATTGTTCGTTTCTGCAAAACATGAATACATTGGATTTGTACGTTATTATGTAGCGGAAATCCTGAAACTTTATATTTCAACAACGCTGTGGTTATGGTGGTTTGGTTAGTTATGCTCAGGAAAAGATAAAGTTTTGGCTTCAATTGTGTTCACATGGAATCATGGACATGATAGATGGCACAGCTGATGTCATGTGCGTGGATGAGAGCAGGACGGTAAAATTAGGTGAGGCCGGGAGAGATTACTGGTAACACTAACTGAAGACGAGTTGACATTCAGAGTTAAAATATTTTAACTTTTTGCCATCCTTAGCAACAGAATTTACAACCAGATGTTACGTAGCTCCTTCACACACGACAAAAAATGTGGACATCTGCACAATTACTGATATCCAATATATAACAACTTAATTGACCGATACTTCTCTCGATATGTCCACTTTTCCCCACTTAGTTTTAGCGATCATCAAGTCTCTTCTGTAGTGGAATTAACATCATATTATACATTCATACTCTTATCGTGATGGCCCACCAGCAGATGGAGACATGAAATACAACACTGTTCAGTGTATGTATTGTGCACAATAAGAAAAAGATGATATGCTGATATTATCGTTCATCCCTACTAGAAAAATTATGTGAAATATGAAACATAAAATCATTTTATTTAACATGCTTTATTACAGTCTTTGTAAACAATTCGACATCACCTTCACAAAATATTGTTCTGCATATTTCATTCTACCAGCCTGCCATTCTGTCGAACTGTTTGTTCGTCTGGTGCTGTCTGGAAACGGTTCTCCGTCTGCCTGATTCCATGTGAATGCCGCATTAAAACACCCAGTTTTGGGGGCACAATACTGACAGGAAAAGCAGCGATATCTCGGTAAAAACAACTGTTAATGCCACTATTCCCATTTGAAACACAACCACATTTTGGAGCATAAAAAGCTGAAGGAATTACAGCAATGACTCACTAAAACATAACTGGTTTTGTTGTTTTGTTGGTCTCAAACCCTCATTTCGTCCTCCTCCAGATGACAAAATCAGCTTAAATACCACCAAAGGAGTGTTGATATGATACATACAAAATGTGCACATATAAGGTGTTCATGTTTTGCAGAAGTGTACAATGCCAACATGTTCTTGTGGCGACTGGGCTGTATGACGTAGATAATCATAAGTTTTTCTTGCACATTTGTTTTGCTGAACAATCTGCAACTGAAGATCCAGCAGTCTGTTGTTGAATTGTCGTATTTATGTGAATATGTAGTGTGTTTGTATAACATGCTTCTGGTCTCCATCTAATGCTCTGGTATTTGTCTTTGCAGTGGGAAGAAGATGAATGGGTCTCTGGACCACCCCGACCAACCAGATGTTGATGCCATTAAGATGTTTGTGGGACAGATTCCACGGTCCTGGTCTGAGGAGCAGCTTCGTGAACTATTTGAGCCTTATGGAGCAGTTTATGAGATAAATGTTCTCCGAGACCGCAGCCAGAATCCACCACAGAGCAAAGGTCAGCCTGCAGTAACTGTTTTCATTTCAGTCTGTAGTAGTTTAGAAGTAGTAGTTTTTAGACATAAGAATCTTTTGGCCCATTTTCTTGTGTGTGTTCAGGTGTTTAAGGACAGGGAAAAACATGTTTTCAGAGATCAGTTACTAGACCTTAGTATACACAGACCCCTTTCCACCAACATGGAACTGGTTTTGTTCTGGTACCTGCACCTAATTTTGAAGCGTTCAGAGCATTTCAACCAAAAATAAATCGTTCGCAAGCCAAAAAGTTGGTTCCCAGGTGGAACCAAAAATTACCAGGTTTTCCTTTAGCTGAAGTTTGAACCATGGTGGCGTCAGTGGGCGTGTCACATTCTACAGGGTACAAAGAGGATAGAGAAGTAAAGTCAGAAATGATCAAAGAGCATGCAGCGGTCTCAGTAACAGCTGGTCTATGCTTGTTTTTTGGGAAAAACAAATGTCTTTCTAAATAGAACAAAAGTTCACAGGTGATCAATTTAATCTGTGATTATGCTATTGTTGTCTACTTCCACAGTGCATTGTTAGGTGTGGTGATATATCGAATATACATGATGTATCGCAGCTTGTTCTTCTTGGGTTGTATAAAATGACAGTATCACAAACATCAAATATAAATGGTGACGTTATTTTTTAAGCCACCGGCATGAGACTCGCTTCAGCGAGACCCATAAACATGATCTATCACACATACCCCTCTGCCCGTCCAGACCACTTTCTCCTGAGTCATAGTGTGTAAGCAGGTGAAGTGTGTTCTCATCTTCAGGGATCCAGACTGCTTTTATTTAGTCACATTTTGTGACCACGAAGCACCACAAAATGTCACAGTGAATAAATCCTCACATTTAAAGGCGCAGCAGCAACAGTTTAACTGTGTGCTAACTGCTAACAGCTAACAGCTATCTGATCAAGTTCACAGCAAAAACATCAACACTTGTGGCCCGAGACGAGCTGGAATCGTCAAAATAAAAGCACCAGTGGTTCCACTTTGATTTATTTAATTATAACAGTACTTTATTTAACTCTATCATAACAATACATTATTTAACTTGAATCTAACAGTATTTAATATCACTTTACCATAACGGTATTTTATTTAACTTTTTTATGACAGTAGCTACTTCATTTAACTTTACTCTATTTTATTTAATAATTTTGTATTTCAGTAGTCTACAGTGCTTCAGAGATGTCAGAATATTGCAAAATATATCGTGTATTGCCATATAGCCTAAAAATATTGCGATATATTTTTAAGCCATATCGCCCAGCTCTATGCGTTGTGCAGCGCCCTCTGTGGATGACGCATCGTTGATCACAGTGTTTCCACTCAAATCTGGTTCGCCAGATAGCACCAGGTCTCCATGAACCATGAACAGAACCAGAGCTGTTGGTGGAGAAGGGGTCATAATGTACTAATTACACTTTTAATGTGACAAAGTCCTTGTTTTCATATTAATATCTTATCATGATTATTTAACAGTTACTTCTGGTAGTTATTATCATTTTTTAATGAATTTTAGAGGTAATATCTTTAATAGTTATATTATTAATAGTGTTTTTGATTGGTGAGGACCTCATAATGACCTGGTGGTGCAACTGCCCAGAGATATAAGAGTTTTACACAGCACATGTGCTGAGTCAGGTGTGTGACAGAAGGTGTCTTTCATTCCCCGGCAGGCTGCTGTTTTATAACATACTATACTCGAAAATCAGCCTTGGAAGCACAGAATGCTCTGCACAACATGAAGATTCTTCCAGGGGTAGGTGACAGCCTCTTTAATCTGACCTTTCAATGCATGCTGGTTCATATGGAAGCTTTGGACTTCCTCTCTGTGGTTGGTCATTAACAGCTGAACCAAAGGTGGGATGCATGAAGTGTCTGAGCTGATACAGCAGCGAGCAGGTCTGTCGTTTGGAGTCCAAGTGTCAACAGTGTTGGAATTATTTCTTTGTCTTTCTTGTATTTAAAGGAATAGTTTGAATCTTTTGAAGTGGGGTTGTATGAGGTATTTCTCCAGTCAGTTTATTACCTACAGTAGATGTCAGTCGGCACGCCCCCAGTTTGGAGAAGCAGGCAGGAGTCTGACACAGAAGCTAAGCCATTTAAGTGAACATTGTATTTAGAATATTTTCACGGCTTTACTTTACCGTCAGACAGGATTTCTGACGGGAAACTGAAGCCATAATAATATCTCTCTCTTCAAAGCCAGACTCCACTGAGAAAAACAGTGTTTTAACGTCACTGAACTCAGGAGCTGCTGGTCTACTGCTGCCTCCATCTGTGAGTTAGTTTGAGTTATTGTGTAACTTTGGCGTTTCACAGGGTTAGTTTGGATTCACCAAAGTCACACAATAACACAAACTAACCAACTGATCGAGGCAGTGGTACACCAGCAGCCTCCATGTTCAGTGAGCTAAAATGACTGTTTTTGTCAATGGAGTCTGGTGGCTTTGACGAGAGCATAGAAGAGGAACTAAAGCCATTAACTGCCCTTCTGTCGGAACGTCTCTCTGATGGAAAGGTAAAGCAGTATTAGCTGTGATTTAGCACGTCAAATTTGATGGAAATCAGCCAAACAATTTGAATTTTTTTAGTTGTGTTATCACAGAGAATTACTCCATGACACCAAGCGTGGAGTGTCCGGCTTTACAAATCTGTCATGTGCACTGGAGTTAGCTCAGGGCTTAACTAGCTTTGCATATTATTTTGCATGTTCAAGCCTTGGATATGGAACTCAAGACTTAGTGTCAGTGGTGCGACAAATTTACCTTATTTGCACTCAGCCCAGCTGCCAGATGAAAATTTTAGCATTGTACTTTTTCAAACCATAAATATTGGGGTTTTAAGGTATATCATGAGGTAAAAGTTGATGGTTATCATACCGTGCACATGTGCTTATCTACTGGGGGAAAAAAAGCAACTGGATGGAGAATTTCACCTTTATTTTAGTTACTTTTAAAGGGAGACTTTTTACACATAGTCAGCCAGGTTAAAGAGGAGGTTAACCTCTGAACCTACTGCTCACATCACTGATAGTCATCACACAACACACGAGTCAGCAGTATGAGTTCTAACGTGTTCTTTGTTGTCTCGTTCAGATGCACCACCCGATCCAGATGAAGCCGGCTGACAGTGAGAAAAACAATGGTAAGAATTCTCTATCATTTTCTTCTGTCTCCTTTGATACCAGCAAACAACTCTGTGTTAATTCCCTTTGTAATGACAATGACAGCCCTAAAAAAAACTTAATGCATCAAACAGTTGTAATTATGTAATTTGTGAATGTCATTATTTGGGTGAAACTGTTGAATGGCATCATTTACTATGACCAGTCAGGAACTGGTACCTATTTAATACAGCCTCTCCTGAACCATAAATGTATTCACTCTGAAGCGCTGCATCATCCAAATTATCCAAAGTAGTGTGGACGTGACCTTTAAACATTTTTATCCTGCTGAGAAAATGTGCAAAGCTTCGGAACCTCATACAGGACATTTCAAGTCAAGGAAAATCAACAGTGATGACGTCTGAATAATTCCTCTTGTTCAAACTGGTCACTTAAAGATCCTCCCTGAAGTTCCTTCAGTGCCAAACAGTATTTAAAAGTTGATCTAAAGCTAATCTGAGGCTTCTGCAGTCTGAGTAAATTAAATCATGTGGATGAAGTGTGGATTGTGTCACTTACATTACACATCACATTACTGTACTGTAGGAAGGATCTGTTAACGTCCAGTCTGATCACAGCAAGCAAAACCAGTTTCGATGTTTGTACGGGCACCTGACGGGTGTTTTCAGGCAGACCTGAAAAAATTGTGCCCCTTCCTTTTAAGAGACCCAGACTTCAGATTTTGTCCTGAATCTAAGTCAATATACTGATGACATCATTTGTAAAAGAGCCGCAATTAAACACATGTGCATGTTGAACGTAACGTTGCACCATTTACGTTGACACAGAGCAGGTGTGTTTGATGTTGTGTTGTGTTGAATACAGCAGTGGAGGACAGGAAGCTGTTTATCGGAATGATCTCAAAGAAATGTAACGAGAACGACATCCGACTGATGTTCTCACCGTACGGACAGATAGAGGAGTGCCGGATACTTCGAGGCCCTGATGGACTCAGCCGAGGTGAGGCAGAGTTGCAGAGAAGATAAAATTTTCCTCAGAGAAGTCTCCTCTCAGAGTCGTGACACATCGTGTTTCTCTCCTGCAGGTTGTGCATTTGTGACATTCACAGCGAGACAAATGGCCCAGTCAGCCATCAAGTCCATGCACCAGTCCCAGACCATGGAGGTAAACCTCAGCTTCTTTACGAAAAATAACATTTGATCTTGTGACCCTGATTTCAAAAGTGGTAAATTACGGTGTCTCTATTGTTGAAATATTACAGTGACAAATCATTCGAAGAAGCACAGTGTTGACGTCAAACTGTCAGAGTATAAAAATTTCCTGTGTCTGTGTCCAGGGCTGCTCGTCGCCCATCGTGGTGAAGTTCGCAGACACTCAGAAGGACAAGGAGCAGAAGCGCATGGCCCAACAGCTGCAGCAGCAGATGCAGCAGCTCAGTGCTGCCTCCATGTGGGGAAATCTCACGGGGCTCAACAGCCTGGGGCCTCAGTACCTGGCAGTGAGTGTCTGTTTGTGCTCAACCTAATGATCAGCCTGTTGACGAAGCAGTTTCCTCAGTTTAAACTTCCCCGTCACTTCCACTTTAGCATGTTGTTTCTCATATCTCCTGGCTTTAGCTTTACTTACAGCTACTGCAGCAGTCGGCCTCCACGGGGAACGCACTCAACAACCTGCACCCTGTTTCAGGTACACACACACTCAGAAACACACACAGACATGGTACCATGAACTATCATGATGTCATGTAAGGCAAAGTGTTCAGTATGTCAGTATGTTGTTGGCTGAATAATAATCACACTAGTGGCTTCTGGGTCTGAAAGACTTTCATGTCATCTGTCATACCTGCACAGCCAGTGAACTCCAGAAGAGAACGCCTCCTTATATACTTGCTTTTATGCCTCTGCGGCGGCGAGAGCTGCAGCCAAAGGCATCATGTGTTTGGGTTGTCCGTCCAAACGTCCGTCCATCCCATCCTTGTGAACACATTATCTCAAAAACTCCTCAAGGAAATGTCCACTTGGACTCAATGATGAACTAATATGTTTTTGGTGGTCATAAGTCAAAGGTCAAGACCACTGTGACCTTGTCTGTCTCATTCTCGTGAATGTGCTATCTTAAGAAGGCCTTGAGGATATTTGTTCAAACTTTACACAAAGTTTGACTTGGACTTGAGGATGAACTGATTAGATTTTGATGATCAAGAGTCAAAAGGTCAAGGGTGCTGTGACCTTGCATCCATCTCATTTTGTGAACGCAATATCTCAAAGAAAGCTTGAGGGAATTTCAGATACTGACAGTTGGTCAGATACTGAATTGGTGACTCTAATCTTGAAACTGTGCTGATTGTAAAGATCCTCTGAGCTGTCGGGGGCACAGTGGGTTTGAAGCGTCCATGTCTCACAGACATGGATGTAAACTGAAAGAGAAACTTGACGTGCGTGCAGAGACGTACAACCCATGGTGGTAATTGTAATTTTTATATACAGAACGGTCAGATGAAGGGTGAGCGCAAGCTTTAACGTCACTGTTTGTGTTTCTGTCAGGTCTTAATGCCATGCAGAACCTGGCTGCTCTAGCAGCTGCAGCTACTGCCACACAGGCCACGCCCACAGGCTCCAGCGCCATGACGACATCTAGCAGCCCACTAAGTGCACTAACAAGCTCAGGTAAAAAAAAATTACAACTACAGTACTGTTTCATAGTCAAGGTACACACACTAGGTGCACATAAACCAATATTGATAGAATTCTGTATGCACTGTGAAACATCTGTACATTTATATATACTTACTTTATTGTGTACAGTACAGGCCAAAAGTTTGGACACACCTTCTCATTCAATGCGTTTTCTTTATTTTCATGACTATTTACATTGTAGATTCTCACTGAAGGCATCAAAACTATGAATGAACACATGTGGAGTTATGTACTTAACAAAAAAAGGTGAAATAACTGAAAACATGTTTTATATTCTAGTTTCTTCAAAATAGCCACCCTTTGCTCTGATTACTGCTTTGCACACTCTTGGCATTCTCTCCATGAGCTTCAAGAGGTAGTCACCTGAAATGGTTTCCACTTCACAGGTGTGCCTTATCAGGGTTAATTAGTGGAATTTCTTGCTTTATCAATGGGGTTGGGACCATCAGTTGTGTTGTGCAGAAGTCAGGTTAATACACAGCCGACAGCCCTATTGGACAACTGTTAAAATTCATATTATGGCAAGAACCAATCAGCTAACTAAAGAAAAACGAGTGGCCATCATTACTTTAAGAAATGAAGGTCAGTCAGTCCGGAAAATTGCAAAAACTTTAAATGTGTCCCCAAGTGGAGTCGCAAAAACCATCAAGCGCTACAACGAAACTGGCACACATGAGGACCGACCCAGGAAAGGAAGACCAAGAGTCACCTCTGCTTCTGAGGATAAGTTCATCCGAGTCACCAGCCTCAGAAATCGCAAGTTAACAGCAGCTCAGATCAGAGACCAGATGAATGCCACACAGAGTTCTAGCAGCAGACCCATCTCTAGAACAACTGTTAAGAGGAGACTGCGCCAATCAGGCCTTCATGGTCAAATAGCTGCTAGGAAACCACTGCTAAGGAGAGGCAACAAGCAGAAGAGATTTGTTTGGGCCAAGAAACACAAGGAATGGACATTAGACCAGTGGAAATCTGTGCTTTGGTCTGATGAGTCCAAATTTGAGATCTTTGGTTCCAACCGCCGTGTCTTTGTGAGACGCAGAAAAGGTGAACGGATGGATTCCACATGCCTGGTTCCCACTGTGAAGCATGGAGGAGGAGGTGTGATGGTGTGGGGGTGTTTTGCTGGTGACACTGTTGGGGATTTATTCAAAATTGAAGGCACACTGAACCAGCATGGCTACCACAGCATCCTGCAGCGACATGCCATCCCATCCGGTTTGCGTTTAGTTGGACGATCATTTATTTTTCAACAGGACAATGACCCCAAACACACCTCCAGGCTGTGTAAGGGCTATTTGACCAAGAAGGAGAGTGATGGAGTGCTGCGGCAGATGACCTGGCCTCCACAGTCACCGGACCTGAACCCAATCGAGATGGTTTGGGGTGAGCTGGACCGCAGAGTGAAGGCAAAGGGGCCAACAAGTGCTAAACACCTCTGGGAACTCCTTCAAGACTGTTGGAAAACCATTTCAGGTGACTACCTCTTGAAGCTCATGGAGAGAATGCCAAGAGTGTGCAAAGCAGTAATCAGAGCAAAGGGTGGCTATTTTGAAGAAACTAGAATATAAAACATGTTTTCAGTTATTTCACCTTTTTTTGTTAAGTACATAACTCCACATGTGTTCATTCATAGTTTTGATGCCTTCAGTGAGAATCTACAATGTAAATAGTCATGAAAATAAAGAAAACGCATTGAATGAGACGGTGTGTCCAAACTTTTGGCCTGTACTGTATGTGTATATATTTATATGTATTTACTAACTATATTTATATATCACCTTTCATGCAAAGGATGCAGCACAAAGTGCTTTACAATTCAGCGGCAGAGACAAACAGCAAAGAGATAATCAACTAATTAATCAAGTAATTAAAACATACATATAAAAATATGAAAACAGATTAAAAAGATATGTTTTGACTGTCCACTGAGCCAGCAAGTCTAATATTTAAAGGCTGAGTGTTCCATATTGTGGTAGCATGGTAGCTAAATGAAGCATCCCCAAAGGTTTTTGTAGAGACAGTAGGAACGGATAACAGAGCAGCTGCGGAGGATCTCAGGGTTCGTGGAAAGACATAAGGTGATATAGAATGTATAATCTAGGAGGGGGTGATGCCATTAAGAGCCTTAAAAACCAAAGGAAGGATTTTAAAATCCATTACTGCATACTGGGAGCCAGTGCAGGTTACGTAGAACAGGAGTTATATGGTCTCTCTTTTTAGTTTTTGTTAAAACCCTGGCAGCAGCAGCGTTCTGAATGCACTGTGGTTTTGCTATGGCAGTTTTAGGTGGGCCGGTGTATGGGGTGTTACAATAATCAAGACAACTGGAAACAAAAGCATGGACAAGCTTCTCAGCATCTTGATGGTTCAGTAGAGGTCATACCTTAGCTATATTGTGTAAATGATAAAATGCAGTTTTCGTTAATGAATTAAAATGAGCTTTACAATTGAGATCACAATTTAAAATGACACTGAGGTTTCTTACTAGAGTCGTTTAGCACTGTAACATCATGTTTGTTATAATGTTATTTATGACGACATTAACAGTGAATGTTCTCTGAGCAGGCTCCTCCCCAACCTCCAGCAGCAACTCATCAGTCAACCCCATGGCTTCTCTGGGGGCCCTGCAGTCTCTGGCTGCTGGTGCTGGAGCTGGACTCAACATGGGCTCTCTGGCAGGTACTGACCCACAGCTGGACCTGTGCACGTCCACTCATTAGATTACTGTCAGGCTGAACGCTCAATGTAAAGCTTTGTCTTTAAGATTGAAAGAGGAGATGTCATATAATGTCACTGTGTTTTCAAACTATTGTTACGTTGAACTCAACATCACTCACCATGTGACTGTGATGCAGGCATGGCGGCTCTGAACGGCAGCCTCGGCACTGGAGGCCTGTCTAATGGCTCAGGAAACACCATGGAGGCACTGAGCCAGGCCTACTCAGGCATCCAGCAGTACGCTGCTGCTGCGCTCCCCAGCCTGTACAACCAGAGCCTGCTGTCCCAGCAGAGCGTCTCAGCTGCAGGCAGCCAAAAGGAAGGTGGGTTTAACAAAAAGGAGGTGACATGGGGGTGACTGGAGGGGGTATAGAAACGTAAAGAGAGCTGGGGCTGTTTACTGTACAACCACTGAGCATGCTTCACAGTGTTCCTGTCTTCTGTCCAGTGTTGGAGTCAAATTGAACAATCACAAAAAAATCACGGGCTGCAGGCTAACATTTGAGCCTCTTCAATAGGCTGCCATAGCAACCCAGTGGCCAGAAAAATGCTGGCACTGTACGTTTCTGAAATCCAAAGATACTGGACTGCTCATTATTATGCAGTTAAAACTTTGTCTCAGCAGGCACTGGGGTTAACGTGTGAATAACTAATGTGAGCCAACTAGGATTTGTCCCCAGGTTCATTGTAAACTCTGACTTATCCATGTGACTGTTAAGAAGCAGAAACATAACTTCTTTCTTCATCTGCAACATGTCAGTCGACTTTAGAATATTCGTTGACAGCCCTAGTGTCCTCTCACAGAGTTGGTGATTCAAACTAAACTTTCATCTCTGTCAGAGAAAACTGATCTGAGTTCAGACTGTTTACTTACAGCACAGCTACACTCACAGATAACTGAGCCTCCTACCTGCCTGTCAAACACCATCAACCCACAAACCTTCTCCAGTCCGGACTGAGTGGAGTCCTGCGGGGTGAAGCTGTGAAGTCTGCGAGTGGAGCTAGCTGCTAACAGCCACCACTGCAACTAACAAACTCCACAGATCCATTCAGCAGCTCCACCATCCACAGTCAGACACACACGGCTGATTATTTACTGCAGAATTACAGCTCACAGCTCGCACCAACCCAAACATCCTGGTGCAGACTATTTACTGGAGTTTACCAGTCGCTCATGTGGTATTTGAAGATAAGTACAAGCACGGCTGTTCTTGGCTTTCAACGTCCGATAGTCCACCGCAAACATTTTCGTCACGTCTCATCAACGGAAATGAATCATCGATTTTGTTTTAGTTTCTTTTATGAAGATCTATTTTTTGCTCATCATCGTCTCGTTTTCGTCAATGAAATTAACACTGGTTTAGGCACAAAAAGCACTTGGTTATGGTCTGGAAAAGATCATGCTTTGGCTTAAAATACCTGATTTTGGGGGGCCGGTCGCAGCTGGAAAAGAAGCAATGTCTCAGTAAAAACAGCCTCTTTTCGTGGAGCTATCACTGCTGGAAAAAAACAGATGGGTCACTACAAAACACCCAAATTGTGAGTGAAAGACGCTGATGGAAAAACACAGACGGGTTGCTTGAAAACAGCCACATTTAAAAGCTAGAAAGCTGCTGGAAACACAGCAGTGACTCGCTGATGATGGTCTTCAGCAGTGGTCTGCAGCTTGGCAGGCATCTCGCCCAGGTGTTATGCCATTTGTTGTCGCCTTCACCCCCCAAAGTCATCTCATTCTGACTCACTCTAGAAGTAGCAATGTAGTAGTAGAAATGTTGATAGATTCGTATGAAATGTACAAATGTAACGTGTGCATAGTTTGCAGAAACGTACAATGCTAACATTTTTCTCTGGAGACTGAACACAGACTCCCTCTGCAGACAGAAGACAGAAAAGCTAACATGCTCAGTGCTCGACTCCTACTGTTATTTAAAGTAGTGTCATGGGTGGGTTGGTAGAGATGTGTAGAGATAGGTAGAGATGTGTGTGTGTGTTGATCTCACCTTCTGCTAAGGATTCTGTCTTGTCTTAAATCTGCTGCGTCAGCCAGCGACAGTCGCAGCACTGGTAAGACATCACCACCTTCATGTCAACAGCTTTAAAACAAACTCATGTCCATAAACAATGTTAGTCCCTCTATAAACCATACTCTGATTTCATTCATTTATTTTTATAATTAAATTCTCACATGATACTACAAAGCTCCCCGGGGGTCACGTGGTGGAAAAAATATTCATGTGGAAATTCAGATTGGCAGACTGCGGTTTAGCAAACAGTTCAGTTTGTTGCCTCATCTTCTTAATCTGTTGACACAGATTTCCACATCCATTTTAATGAATTTAGTGAGTCATACATTGTTCAAATATCTCTGTGTTTACTGTTTGTATGGTTAGTAAAACACGCGTGTTGATTGGCAGGTCCAGAAGGTGCCAACTTGTTCATCTACCACCTGCCCCAGGAGTTCGGAGACCAGGACCTGCTCCAGATGTTTATGCCCTTTGGAAACGTCATCTCTGCTAAAGTCTTTATCGACAAACAGACAAACCTCAGCAAGTGTTTTGGTGAGTTTGTGGTATTTTGGCGCAACATTAACCTGCTGCCATCTGTTACCAGGAGTTAAAACTCTGCAGACAGAGTTTAAGAATAAATATATCTTAGATACTAAGCCTCTAATACGACCTCCCACATCTAGCAAAGAATCTTGTGTGCCCCTTCTGACTCAAGTGTTTTTATTTCTCCTCCAGGCTTCGTGAGCTACGACAACCCCGTGTCATCGCAGGCGGCCATCCAGTCAATGAATGGTTTCCAGATCGGTATGAAGAGGCTGAAGGTGCAGCTGAAGCGCTCAAAGAATGACAGCAAGCCTTACTGAAGGTGCTGAGGCACTGCAGACTTAGTTAGGCAGGGCGGTGTTATGGTAAGTGGAGTATGAATAACCAAGACTGGTCTACTCAGAAACTTGTCTATGCATTACAGGGCGATGTCTGCTGCGCTGCCTCTCCTGGTCACTATGTCCAGGCAACGAGTCACGTCAAGCTACATGCAAGAGTTTTCATGCTAGACTGGATTCTTCCTGTGTTACGTTGTGGTTCATGCACTTTGTTTTCCTTTTGATAAATGAGAGAAACAGGTGTATTTTCATTTAAGTTGAAATGTTATCAGTTTGCTGTGGTACATAATACACATATGAGTTGATTGTTAGGATGTGTTGCACATTGACAGTCAGGTCAGATAGGTGCCAAATCCATCTGTTATTACTTCCTGTCCCCCTCCCCCCCTCTGCACCACCCAGCAGGATGCTCCTGACATCAGGCAGCAGCTGGAACAGACAGAGCCACATTTGATTAGGAAACATTAACATCATTATCAGGTTTACTTTCACACTGTTACAAACCAAAACGGGTGGTGATCCCTGCTCTGTATTGGGTGTCTGTATTATCTCCTGTCTGTGATATATACACCTGAATTAGCTGTAAGGTTCAAGGTACAGAAGCTTACATTGTTCAGAAGGAGGAGCTCCACTTAAACATGCACATTTAGACATATCTGTCTTCACTCTGCGTTTGTAAAGTGTGTGTGTGCGTGTGTGTGTGTTGTGAGGACAGAGTCTAGATTAGTGACTGTTGTGACAGTTCAGCAGGACGTTGATGCTGTGAACATTTTGTTCTCTGGTGTTTCCACTCTGAACTGAAGTCAGTCACCTCCCGTAACCTTCCTGCTGATAGAGGAAACATCCCGTTCTCATTCCCAGGGCATCAAACTCTGACGCTTCTTTATTAGACTCACCGGGCTCCCAGCTAACTCCAGTGGAAACCCATCCACGGCAAAACGTGATTCTGAGAGCCACTGAGGGAGTAAAAAGTGCAAGAAAGTCCAGGCAGGGTGAGTGGATGGGTTAAATGAAATTGGAATTTCATCCAGGTGACCACAGTTCATGTCCCATTGTGAAACCAAAGATCAGTGTTTGAACTTACGTCACTGACATACCTACGTCCAGGCCCCCAGGAAGTGCTCCAGGATTTGAAGCCAATTTTAGTGGTGGGCAAACAGTGGAATTAAATCTGTCATGTGGTGTCACGTGGCCCAGAAAGACCTCTTTCCAAAAACATAAGGGTTCAACGTTAATGTTTTTTTTTCACTCGGCCAGTTGGAGAAGTGGGTCAGAAATCAAGCTGCCTGAGGTCAGTTTTTACTCCCTATACGAATGTTTTATATATTAGTGGTTTATCAAATAACTAGTGCCCGCCCCCCCCCCCGATTAAGAATTCTCCTAGTGGACCAACAGTCCTCATCAGGGTCCATCAGTGGACTAGTCTAGTTTGAGTTGAAGGTGTGAGAAAGAATAGTATCAGTAACATTGTTAACACTGTGCTACATTACAGAGAAATACAAACCGTACTAATGAACCTTCATTAATTTAGGCCTATATTTTATCTCCAAGTGCACGTCACACACTGAGCGAGCCGCCTGTTAATGACGCTGTGGGCTAATGGGCATGTAGCTACTTCCATGTTTCAGATGATACGTCATGTTTGTAGTCGACCAATGAAGATGAGTTTACATATCACCTTGGGTTCGTCCTTCACCTTCTCAAAATGATCCCACACTTTGGATTTCCTGCCCAACATGTTATTAACTAGCCTGTGGAATAACCGCAGGTACCAGCCCTGGATATTAACCTGATTCCTGTCTGACTGCTGAGCGTGGACACTTCCTGTGTCTGTCCTTTCAAAGTAAAGTCACACATGGTCCAGTCATATAGGTTTGGATTTATTTTGACAAGGCGCAGCTCCTAGAGTTTCACTTTTGTTTTTTGTTTTTTTTCTGTGACTAAGCGACCACATTTAAACCAAAACTCTGGGGTTCAGTTACTCTTTAACCCAAAACATGATCTTTTTTCTAAACCTAACCCCGACCGTTTGACGTTTATCTGTGCATCACGTACACACATTAAAGGTTTCCCTGTGTGTCGCTATGAGACTCCGAGGGGCGTGACCATAGACTTTATATAAAGGTGGACAACACATCTCCACCTTACTCCCACTGTACAAATATGAAGCCAAAATATCCTGGTTACACCCATTGCCATCTTGCACTGGTGACATCATTTGGAGCCAGAGTCTGCGCAGTAGTGATCTCCACAGGGTCGAGTTCCCGCCCAAATACGCTTCTGACCCAGCTGCAAGCAGCGCCACTGATCGCAAACACACCGATTTGCACACACAGCTGTCAATCGTGATGTCACAACCCGTATTTATTGCATCCAATGACTAATTAAAACCAAACTTAACAACTCAGCAAACAGCAGAGTGAGAAGAACTACCTGAAATGACAGAAACCATAAAAAAATTTATCTGATGTGTGTGAAGTTTTTAGTTTGGCTGGGTTTATGTCCTGTACTGCAGCCAGCCACCAGGGGGCGATTAGGATGTTCTGGCTTCACTTTTAGGGACCTGTCTTTTTTACACCGTGTGCGGGCCTGACAAAGCGTTTGATGACCTGGGAATGAGAACAGTTGCAGCAGCCACAGAGGAGACGGTTGTGTCTGTTCACAGTTCTCCTCTGAGCTCTGAGGTGACGAACTGCTGCCTGTTTCTGAGCTGCAGTTAAAGACAACACATTAATGCTTGTTTGTATCTGACCTGTGTGGGTGTGTGCAGCTGTTGCATGGCTTAAACTCGAGGAGTAGCCTCAGGTGTGGGTTGTGTTGTATTCAAACATTGATTTCTGTGTGACGTGGATATGACACCTCTGTGCTCTGTGTGCTCTTTGCAGTTACTGTGTTATTCTTTACCTGGAGGTTAGTGAGACACATTTCTGATGCAGTTGAAGTTGCATGTTAAATAGAGATTTTATTTTTAAGGACTAAACTCGTCATGTTTGGGTGGTGCTCCTCCTGTGCTGTTGCACTCTGAGTGACAGGTTAGAGGTCGGGCTGATGCGGCTGTGAAGCCGTCAGCTGAAACTAGTGATGCTGTGAAGTTTGGATATGAAACCAGACCTCACAGGCTTGTTGTGTCCTGTGCAGATTTAACGCTTTGTTTGAATACATCTTGTGGTTTTAGCTTGTTTCTACCTTGAATCCAGATGTTTTGTAAAAATTCATCAACATCCCTCAACTACTGTCCTGCTAGCTGGCGGCTAGCTAACCTACAGAGGGCTACACCACTGTGTCTCTCACTGAATATCTTCTGTGATTGGAGAATTCATATAAATGTCAAATTGCTCGAGGCAAACCTGTTAGTTGCTTAGACTTGCAAGAAAACATGTTGTTTTTTTTATAGAACTAGGAAGCAAGACAATTGTTGAGATGTATATTTAAACTATTATGCCTTTTCTATTTTTATATAGGTTTTATACTTCCCCGGTGTGTTGGGGAACTATTTATTGCCTAAATTATTTATCTGAATTGAAATTATTTTGAAAGACAAATGTAAAGTCCAACAACTCCATTTGATCTCCTGGTGTGTGTCCTCTCCTTGCCTGTTCAGCGTTTGTTTCCCTCTGGTGATGTGTACTTTGTGTCCGTGTGGCATGGACTGTGTGTTTAGGATCCATCAGTGCTGCTACAGACTTCAGAGAACCCCCTCTCTCTGTCATTCATGCCTTCATCTGAATAAATCACTCATTTTCCAAAAACACAGGGAGCATAGTTTATTCTGCACGTCCATTTGTACGTGTGTCTGTTGGTCCTGTCTTTGTGTGTGAACAAAGAGCGATCTCATGTGTCAACAGTTTTACACCAGGCGGAGTTCAGGGCGTAATTTAAAAGCCAATTCCAGGTCTGAGTCCAAAGATTGAGTCAGAGTAGAAGTATGTGTGATGTGAGTGTGAGCAGTCTGCTGCAGGGACGATCACGTCAAAGCAAAGTCACCATGTTTGTGTCCCATACTGTCCCATTTGCTCATGTTAGTATTTCTGTGTCATTCCTGCTGCTAGAGATATCCTTTTTTTCTTACTGATACCTAAACTTGCACAATGAGTACCAATGTTATACCACTGCTTTAAAAAAAAAAAAAAAAAAAAAAGAACAGCTGTAACCTGCTGACCCTGTGTGGATGTGAAATGATTGATATCGTTGTACGACATGGCTCAGTTTGAACTAATGCCAAATTACGGACATTTTGCTGACAGTTAATTTTACACTATTTACCGGAAATTAGTTCTTCTTCTCCACTTTAGACCCTTTTAGAGCTGACATCATGATGACATCATGTTATCAGCTGGAGGAGCAGCTGCCTCTCCCCCACAGGGCTGTAGGCTACATAGGAGTGTTAAAATGTGTTTGTCTTGTTGTGTTATTGGGAGCCAGAATAGAAGGAGTCATGGCTCAAAACCAGCCGCCACTGCCCGTCAACAAAAACAAAGACAACTATGGTTAAATGTGATAAGACCAAAGGACTGGACGGAGGCCATCATCAAAAATGCTCACATGTGCAGCGCACACTTCATATCAGGTTAGGGTAAAAGTATTTCCTGTTGTAGGGATGAATAAGGTTATGTGTATTAAGGGTTATCATGTCCACCTCATCAGAAACTGGGGAGGGATTAAGAGGAAGATTGGATTTCTCTGTAACGCTAACTTTTTAGCACATTAGCTAACGTTAGCTTCCATAGCAAAACAAACAAGTGTGGTCCTCCTTTGTAAGATTGGCTTCCTGTGACATCATCCATCCACTGAGTGAGAGCATACGGGTCGGCCAGTCTGGTCCCGTTGGTCAGTGTTTACTTATTCAAGTAACACTGGCGGTCCCGGAGAGTGAGTGACCTGACATGGTGCGTTGGTAAATTCAGTCTGACGCTCTACACTAAAATGAGAGCCCTGTTGGTGGAAGAAACGCAGCGTTATATTTCTACATGAATGAACCAACGGTTAAGTTAATCACACATTCACTGCGCTCGGCGCTCTGCTGCTCCGTCTCCACAGACAGAGTGTCCAGAGTGCGCTCTGCCACTCTGAGAGTGCGCTGCTCTGGATAACCCAACGCTACATTCAGACAGCGCTCCCAATTTATCAATGCTCCAGTTTGTGTCAGAGTGCGCTCCCACACTCACAATGAGTGTTTCTGAACGTACCACTCACATCATCTTCCTCCATCGTCTAAAACAAGACAACAGAACTTGCTAGCTAGCGTTAACTAATGTCTGTGGAGAACTGTTTTGCCTCCAGCTAAGCCCCGCCCACCAAAAAATGTCATACTGGACTAACAGTAAAAGGGTCTATAAAACAGTAGTTGCCTGTGGCTGCTAGGGGTGGGCGATATGGCCCTAAAGTAATAACAGGATATTTTTTGTGATGATATTCTTGACGATATGACAAATTAGTAAAAAATATTTTATTATTACTTTAAGAAGATAGAATTGCAACAAAATCAGTGATCTAGTTTCACAGTTTGCTTCAAATCTTCAGTAAAAACAAAAGAAAACTGATCTCTCATTTCTTTAGTTTGTGAACAACAACAGTAACTCAGAGTGAGATTCAGATTCTGTTACAATATTAATAGAGAGGAGAGGGAGAGACGCTGACTGAGTTCCCTCTGAGCGCTAAGAGAAGTAAAACATTCAGGACGCCACAGTTTATTCCACACTACTGAAGCTGCTCCTCTTTTTGGAACCACCACAGAATCGTAATAGTTTCACTTTCAGCCACACTTGTTGCCGTGGGTAACAGGATGACATCATTATGTCAACAAGCCGAAATTTTGCGAGTATCACAATATGAATTTTTTATATGATTTTAAAATGTATACCGTTATTATTGTGAACAAGATGATATAGCACTCCCCTAGTGGCTGCACAACGCAACTTGCTTTGTACTTTTTTGGAGCCACAAAGAATTAATTAATTTCCGGGATACTGGATCTGTGCATGAAGTTGCATATTCGTAGATACCTGATCCAGCACTTTAAGCAGTGTAGGAAGCATTTCTGATCGAGGTATCAGAACAACTTCACCTGTGACTGCACAGAAATCATGTTTATTTGTCAGGGACTTTGTAGACATACATTTACATATATACATAAGTGTGTGTGTGTGTGTGCATGGATAGACAAAAGACAAGCTGCCTAAAGTGAAGTTTAAAGGGATGGTTTGTATCTTTTGATGTGGGGTCATATAAGGTTCTCATCTATAGTCAGTGTATTACGTACAGTAGATGTCAGTTTAGAGGAGTCCGACACTGAAGCTAAGGAGTGTGTTGCTGTGCACAGCGTCAGCAACAAAATGTATTTTAGACACTGAAAAAAGTCCTTTACTAACAAGGATGTAAACGCACAGTGAATGACATAAACAAAAGAAATGTTTTATGGCGGTGGCTTGTCTAAAATGAGCAGTGTGAAAGTTATGCTGTGTCCCAAATCGGATACTTAATTAGTATACTGATATGAAGTACACTGCGTACATTATGTTCTTACACCAGTCAGTCAAAACATTAAACCACTGGTGGGTGAGTGAGTAAAATTGATCTTGTTACAATGCAGTGTTCTGCTGGGAAGCTTTTGGTCCTGGCATTTAAGTGGATGCCACTTGATGTACTTCACCAGCCCAAACCAAGACCAGGTACCCCCCCCCGTACCTGCTGTTTGCAGACCAAGTACTCCCCCTCCCAGTGCACCCCGCCACACCACAAAAACTTCTCAGGAATGGCTCAAGAAGAGCTAAAGGTGATGATCTGGCCTCTGTGGAAAGTGTTGGTACCCCACTTTGCAGCCAACAGGTCTCAAAGGATCTGCTGCCAACACACTGGTGCCAGACACCACAGGACACCCTTAGAGGTCCTGAGTCCATGCCTTGACAGTTCAGAGCCTAGTCTGATCCAAGAAGGCCCCACAATGGATCAGGGGAACTTCTAGGGTACTGGCACTTTCCACAAATCGGCGCTGTCCGATGAAAAACACGTGTCTCCACTTTTGACGATTTTGACTTTCTACAGTGCATGGAGTGCCCGTAATATTCCCTAGCAACCGTTAGCGTTGGGTATCCAAATGACCAATGGAAAGACGTTTTATTACTTCATCTATTCAACACGTATCTCCACTGGGTGTCAGACGTGTCCATCAAAGCGCGTAGAAAGTCAAAGTCGTCAAAAGTGGAGGAAGCGGAGGAAGCGCTCGATCAGATAGGGGTGGTTAGGGTTCAAACGGAGCGTCACATTTCTATATGCATTAAGGAGCGGACAAGTTAATCACACATTCACTTCTCTCTGCCACTCCAAGAGTGCGGTGCTCTGGATAACCAAGTGGTACATTCCAACAGCGTTATGAATTTATGAACGGTCCAGTTTGTGTTAGAGTGTGCTTCGGTACTCAGACATTAGCTAAAGAAAAAAAGTCATACTGTTTACTAACTGTAAAAGGGTATATATGGCGGCGATCCAGCAGCCAGTGAGGCATCTATGTATCTATATCTATGTCCTGATGTGACCTGCATGTCGTCACTGATTCTGTGCTGGCATTTTATCCAGGCTGTCATACGTGTGTGTTGCTGTCGTCGTCATTCCCCCTCAGTCCCTGGTAGCATGTGGCTCGTCCTCACTCTGTCCCTGACACTGACTGTTGAGTGTTTAGACTGTAATCAGCAGCACACAGAGATGATCAGATCATTCTTGGTTTCTTTTCTCTCTCCTGTCTGTGTTTCCATTGTGGTTTAACCTCGGTTTGTCTCCCTGTTGTGTTTTTCTTTTTGTTTTTTCTAGATCTCTTCCTGTTTGCCCCTAGCATGTTGATGTGGCGTCACAGTTCATCGTCCAGTCCTTGTCTTCTGCGCTTCTCTGATGCTTCCAATTTCACCATTGACCTTGTGTTTGGCATTGATTACCAGGAGGTTTTTGTTTCGTTGTTTCCCATGTGTCCTCTGTGCTGCCAACAGGGGCACTAGAAAGACTGCCCCTGAACATGTTCAAAACTTCATTCAGATTATTACAGTCATAAAAAGAGATCTATTTTTCTAGAACGTTCTCACGTGACCACTAGAGATTTTGCAGAATCAGTTTGACACAAGTCTGACCTTTGTTTTTATCTCCTGTGTTGTGGAGCAGTCCTCCCAGTGCCCCCTTCCTCTGGGTTTGTTTTTGTGTGTGTGTGTGTGTGTGTGTGTGTGTGTGTGTGTGAAGCAGCTAATCTGTCTGTGGTGGTGTTGTGTGTGAGTGCTGGTGTGTGTGTGTCTCCTGAGTTAGAAAAACTTTTCAACCAAGTTAGTGATCATGTGTTGTTAGATATTAGTTATTTAATGCTAGGCTAGCTAAGGGTTCATCCGTGGGAGTTCCCATTTGAGTGATGTTGTGAGACAGTAACACAACCCGTTCTCATTACCAGGTCGTCAAATTACTGATGCTTTGTCGCACCCCTCAGCGTCTCATAGTGATGCACAGGGCGCCCTTTGGCATCTCACATTGTTACATGGGTTAATGTTGTGAAACGGTTGCAGTTAGATTTAGAAAAAAGGTCACGTTTTGGGTTAAATAAATGTTTGTTAGATAACGTAAACATGTAAAAATTGGATAATGTTACGTTAAAGAAACCACACTGATTTTTGGTTTAACACTGGACACGAAATGCAGGTTCTGGATGAAAGTCCAGTTTTGTTTAACACCTCTGTCCCACCCTACTTGGATTATTTGATCACAGCGTCAAGTATCGCCACGGAGGAGTTTACGCTGGAGTTAGCTGAAAGCTCAGTACGTCTCATAAAGAAGCTAAAGGGTGGCTTTGATATGATATCACACACTGAAGCGCGTGACAAAGCGTCCATATTTGATGTCCTGGGAATGAGAACGGGCTGGGTAACATTTTTTGTGTCGGTGTGAAAATCTGATTTTACTTTAAGCCTATCGACTGACCTCCGCAAGCACATGATGCTGTTCTGCTCGTTTATTTTTATTTTTTTGTGTGTGGGGAATCAGACAAAATCCACAGAGGAGAGACTTTTGTCAAAGTATATTTAGTATGCATGTTTTTTTTAATATATATAAATATATATATATATATATAAAGTATATCTGCACTGAAATTCTTGGCAAAATGTGATCTAGTTTGTGTTAAGTTAAATGAATAAACTGGTGCCAAATGTTTTGCACAATCAGTATTTTCCCCTTTTTATTGGCTCTACTGGTCAGACTGGTGGCAGAGGGTTGGTTGGTGTCGCTGGTGCAGAAGGTTTCACTGAAGAACAGACGTGAACTTGATTTTAAATCATCTGGATACAACATTAAATTAAAGCTGCACTAGCTATGAACAGGCCTTTGCACCTTCATGCACATTGGGGTTGCTTGTGGGACTCAGTAGACGCAGCATTTTGTCCACAGAAATGACCTGTTGCAAATTATGCACCACTTCCTGTGTCCACTCTGTGGCACTACAGAACAAACAGTAATAAAATGCCATGTGTCTGGATATCATGTGAAGTCCACACCATGTAAATTTAAAGTCACACAACCATGACCATCTGTTATCAGCAGGTGGCGCTGTAGGTATGAGACACTATGGGCATGTAGATGTCTTCAGGAGTGGACTAGGGGCCATACACATGCCGCGTTTTTTGCGCCCTCAATTTCATTGTTTTCAGTGTAGATGAGAGATAAACCAAGTTCAACTTTTGGAACGTAGCAGTGTCATGTGACGAGAAACAACCAATCACACCCAATGGATATCTTTCCTTTTCAGTAAATATCAGTCTGTGGTAAATATGAAGAAGTTGATCATGTTAGTGCAGAGCTACTCAGAGCTTTACAGCTGTCCCACAGACGATAGGCCTACACAGCGCCTGGAAGAAGATCAGCTCTGCACTCAGGATTTTAGGTAAATAGGCTATGATTCAGTGCTTGTTAAGGTGGCTTTGCAACCTCAGACACAAGCTGCCACAGCACTCTTGAAAGCTGACACAAAAAAGGCTAAAAAGTAGAGCCAAGCGCCCGACCTTTTGTTTTCCAGGCGATTAAAGATGCAGCATGTGTACGGCCCCTTATCCAGCATTAAATTTGGGACAGATTGGACCACGAAAAGTCAAGTTACCACAGCTTCCTGTGTCATGTCGAAACATCAAAATTTGCTGCGCCACCACAGAATCGGCATTAACGAAAACTAACAATGAAGCGTCATCAGAGTCTTCAGGTTTTTTGCCCATCTTTAAGTGGAATCTGGACTTGCTAAAAGTGAATCAAGGTAAAAAACTTGTCATTTCCTGTTGCCAGTAGGTGGCACTTTAACTACAACTAAATATTGACATGTAGCTGTCTTCAGGCCGGGACGCCAATTAGGGATGCACGATACTGGATTTTTTGCAGATACCCGGTATGCTGATAGATAGATAGATAGATAGAACTTTAATAATCCTTTACAGGAAATTAAAAATGTCACGGCAGCTTAATTACAAACAACACATAACATTCAAACCACAGAGTTACAAGTTAAAAAAAAAAAAAAACATTAATAAAGAAATAAGTTAAAAATTGATAAAAAAGAGTCCCTTGTTTGATCTTGTCACCCAGCTGATGATTACGCAATGTACAGTTTAATAGCAGCTGGTAGGAATGATTTCCTTCTGTGCTCAGACTGCACCTTGGTGCCAGCAGCCTGTTGCAAATGACAACTCATTTGGCCGATAACTGATATTGATATATCTACTTTTTTCCCCACCTAATTTTAGTGATCATCAAGTCTCTCCTGTAGTGGAATTAACATCGTATTATACATACATACTGTTACCATGACGGCCCACCAGCAGATGGAGACATAATGAAATACAATACTTTTCAATGACATGCAGCAAAGGGCAGTGGATTGGAATCAAGCAGAGCATGTAAAACTGTGAAACTTTTCTACAGGCAACAATGAAAATTCCCAATTACATGACCTTATAATTAAGATAAGATAAATCTTTATTCATCCCCAGTGGATAAATTCAGTTGTTACATTACAAGGTTATGGCTACCTTTATTTATTTATCCTCTGTTTAGTCAGAAAGGTCTCACTGAGATACAAGATTACTTTTCAGAAATAAGACAATCACATGAAACTGCTCTTTGACAAGTCAGCAACGTTTGTAACATTTTGTGTAGGTTAGTTTTTAAGAATTTTACTTTCTTTGTCTTCAACTACATAACAGCTGTAATACATCCAGAGTGAAATACCAAATACAAAAACTTGCATGTTGTCCATTTTTATACCAAAAACCACAAAATGTATTAGCTATCTATGTCCTATAATTATTAAGATTTGGAGTATAGTCCAGAAAGTATGAATGAATGATCCTGTTACTGTTCTACATCTGTTGCATGAGGGATGTGTCCCTGGATAAATCTTGGCTAACTTAAAGTAAAGTAAGTTCTATCTGCAAAGCACCAGTCAGTGCTCCAAATACACAGGTGGACCATTCAGGTTTTGCCTCTATACCAAATCACCTACTGCTACTGTGACTGAGGTTCAACGTACAGTATGTCATTTTCTGCTGCTTTCTGAATTAAAACAACAACAAAGACTGAGCCATATCATCACTGCACTCAGTTTCTCCTTCAGTGTTCATTGTTCAGGAGGTTTTTACTGTGAGCTGAATTATCCGCAGAGGTCTCTTCTTCTCCACAACAAACAGACCAGCTGATTTAAACCAATAAAACACTGAATAAAAATGTATCATGGTACAAATTGTTTCTGTGATCACTTCACATCCAGACATCTGATGACTCACATCTTTCATGTGATTAAAACATATAGTTGAAGATGACCAGGATTTAAAAGGTGTGTCATAAAAATGTGGCTTCAAACTGGGTAAAAACTTGATTTATAACAGCTTCTGGCAGACGACCACAAACCTGACACCTGCACAAAGAGGATGTGACGACACTGACAGTTGACAGTGACCACATGACAGATTTTTCTGGGTTTGAACATTGAAGGAAACATTTGGGATAATGTAGGTACACAAAACTGTGGTAACACCTTATCAGTGACATCAGAAACAGCCAGATGTGCGTCTGTCAAACATCTCAACAAGCTGACTTCACCTGCTGCCTGGAAGATGTGACAGCTACAGAGGCCTGGAAGGGACACAGAGGTAAATATTACAAATGGCGGGAAAAAATGTCTGCAGGCTGTTGGAAGTGAACGTTTGTGGTTTCTGAAGACATAAAAAAATCCCAAGAACTGCAGTCATCATGTCAGAACCTGGAAAGACTTTAACAACATTAAATTCATTTCTCTATAACTCAGACCTTGACAAGTGTCAAAATGTCTTAAATCAATTTTTCATAAATCTGAAATATGCGTAGACATTTGAGGCAGGATATTATCAACACAAGGCAATACATTCTAGGTTCAGTGTATTTTATAATAAAGGCTAGTACCGGCTGAATCAACCTTTTCTTCTCTTTGCGGTGGGATCTGTCTCTCCGGAGCTTAGATTGGTTTTAAGATTTGGATCTTTGCACATTTCTGCCAGCTGTGTGATCATCGCTGCTCGGATGTTTGTTTGGTTTCTGTACAAATAAAACGTTTCAGAAATGTTCATGCTTCCTGTGTTTTCTGTCAGAAGTTTAATAGTGTGATTCCATTCCTGGAGGATAGATAAATTATTATCATACAAAAGTAATAAGGTAGGGGAAAATGAGGGAAGAAAAGGGACAAAAGAAAATTATGGAAAAAGAGAAGAAAGAAATACAACTTCTCTAGGATATCTCCTGAACCAAACCAATTTTTGTTTCCTGTAAGTCTTTTTTTCCCCCCTAGTTTATTTTTTAAGCATTTTAGTTATTTACTTTACTTCTCTGTATTGTGGTAATCCTGTGTATGTATGTGTTATTATTCATGTTACTGCCATATCGATGTTATTATTTGTTTTCTTTGTTTTGCTTGTTTTTGTTATTTGAGATTTTGAGATTGTGGGGTGGGAGGGATGTACAGTAGCTACTGTAAAGACTGACACCTTCTTCTTTTATTTTGTTTTTATGAGAGGTAGCCCTACTGTGTAAGAGACTGTAATTTTGACAAATAAAAAGTAAAAAAAAAAGAGGGCAATAAAATGAAAACAAAATACAATCAATATATTTGTTTGCTCCTATCCTAGGCCAAAAACTCCCAGAACAAAACAATAAAAAACATAAGTCCCTCACCAGTACTGTGCCTCCACATTTCCGCACCACCCCCTCCCCTCTCATAAATAACGAACTGTCCCTTATGTCTACATTTACATCTCCCTGTTATCTATATTAGTTTTTAATTAATTTTGTTTAATTTGTTGTTTCACATATGATGTTAAAATGGTCATTTTTAATGTTCTAAAATGAAATTTGTAATAATAATAATAATAATAATAATAATAATAATAATAATAATAAAAATTCTTGGTTGTAAATAAAGATTTTCTAAAAAAAAAAAAAAAAAAGGAAAGCAGACAAACACTTCCGGGTCAGGTCTGAACTAATCCAAACAGAGGTGGTGTCAACACAATTGTTTCTAGTTTAGTTAAAACCGTCTGTGATCAAAGAAGAAGAGTCGAGAATAAGATCCATCGTCACACCGGAGAGACAACATGGCGACCACCATCAGCACCCAGCGGGGACAGGTACACTGAGCACTGAGTGCTTATTACAGCTTAGTTTAGACTGTTAGACACTGACAGGCGGAACTAGCTTCAGTTTGTCAGCAGCTGTGAGAGTTAACTAAGTTTAGTCATTAATCTGTAACACACAGCCGTCTACAACCCTGACTCTGTCATCTACAACACCGACTCCATCACCTACATCCCTGACATCATCCACCGACACCGAGGAAATAACCAGTACCGTTATATAACTAGCTAATGTTAGGTTAATTAGCTACACAGGTTAGCTACATGAGCTAGCTAACGTTAGCATCTGTGGGCTAACGTCAACAAACCGTCACAGCAGCTCAATCACGGATTAAGATGCCAAGAATACCCGGGTCTGACACAAGACTGTTGGCTAGAAGAAAGACAACAACAACAACAACAACAACAAATAACTGTGTTAAAAATATACAGTGCTGGGGAAGCTAACGTTATTTTAAAACAGAGCTACTAACGTTAGTTAATTCACATTAAAGAAGCTGAACTGCAGTAAAGCTAACGTTA